TAGCAACTTAAATTCCCAAAAATTGCTCATTGAATCTGGATTTTAGACAGATGACGATAAAGAGGGGATTAGAAAATCAAAACTTTTTCAGACTAATAGAAGGATGGACAGCCCAACATCAAAAGAAAAATAAAGACATCATTCTTTTCCGATGGAGAATCAGAAGCAGAGTTTCTCATTAAAATGGAAACCGTATTACTACTACCCATTGAACGTTAACAATCCACCTATAAAAAGAAAATAACAGAAAAAAAAACCCAAAAATTGAATAAATTAAGTACAAATGCTGTCAATAGAAACACAAATATAAGATGCGTGAAGTGAAATTATACCATCTGGGTCTGTGAATTGAGCTTCTTGTTTCGCATCCTGGGGCTCCTTTGCCTCCGCAACATTGAAATCGGTCACTGGCAGTGTTTTTAAAGGCATGCCTTCTCGCGCGTCGGAGCGAGGCGGCAGGAAATCACCAGAGGCGGCCGGCTGTTTCACGAGTCGCACGTTTAGCGCGGGGAAGGCGTAAGGATGTGTTGGAAGGCGTGCGCAAATTGGCTGAGGAAGACGACTCGCGTGTTTTCTTTTTAGGTTTATTGTAATGAAACGACGTCGTTTCGATTGCAATGTTAAAAAAAAAAAAAAAAAAAAAAAAAAATTAAAATGAAACGACGTCGTTCACTATAGGTGTTAAGATTGAAAAAAACGCAAGTTTCTGTTTTTTTTTCTTACTTAATTTGTAATAAACTTAAGGCAAGAGAATTAATATCTTTATTGCCTTTTCTAAATCCAGCTGTAGCTTTATTCTACTTACTCTTTTTTTTTCCTTTTCTAAATTAATATATTAACACATGGACTTATCTATCTATATATATAAAGCAAAAGGTAAAGAATGGTGAAACATTCAAAATACAAAAAAATGTCATTGGTTAATTCAAACATTAAGAATTGAAATTATTAATTAAATTATGATAATATGGTAAATTCACATTTTTATATTAAAAAAATTAAAATTAAAAATGAAATCAAATAATAACTACTCATGTTATCTTTTCTTAATACTAAAAATAATAATTAAAAAAAAATCAATTGGGACATGCGTGAGCATGTGCCAAGGAGCTAGTATATATATATATATATATATATTGTATAGTGTTTGTATCGTAGCTGACCATTCCACTCACATCATGACATGTGGAAAGAGTATGAAGCTAGGAAAACAATGCAGCTCATTGACAGACCAGTTAAGTATGAATCGATGTCTGCGACTAATTCATCACCAAACATAGTCGTCACCCCTCCGATCGGCAAGCACTTCCGGAAGCTCCTCGGACATACGATCGGTGCGTCGTGCCGATTATGCGAGACAAACTCGAAAACCCCTCCCCACTTGGATATTTTGTGGAGACTCGTTGGACCTCAGAGGGCACTCCCACAAGTCCCACATCGAAACTAATTACTAAGAGCATACCAAGCACTCTTTATAAATAGGGCCCCTTGCCCTAGACAAAGTATAAGACTTTCAGCTTGATTCTCATGCCCTAGCATTTGTCAAATAGCAAAGCTCTTCCTCAAACTTACTTTAGCATTGGAGGGTCTTCGACTGGTACTACACTGGTGCTCTTGAACTCTTCCGTTGTTTCTCTTCTTAGCCCAGGTCTAAGCATCGCATCCCAAGGAAGAACGTGCTTGCACCAAGAGCTCACTCGATCCTTTGATCATCCACGTCACTTGTAAGTTGCATATATCTCTATCTGTTTAGTTTTAGGGCAAAAAGATTGGCACCATTTGTGGGAAATGACTATCAAATCGACCCATATCTCCCTATCTCGAGCCAAAGATGAATCTACCTTCATCCTTCGCGACCAACGGTACCATCATCGGCCTCGCAAGCGGAGCAAGCCTCGCTCCCTTTTCCGGCACACCTTGGACGAAAACACTCGTTAGCGAAACACTCTGGAGGTTAGAATGGAAGCCCTGCAATAGGAAATGGCAAAAATGCAGGAATACAACAATAATATTTCCTCCAAACTCGACGACACTCAGAGACAGCTTTATGATCAGCAATCACACTCGACCCCACTGCAGGATGGTCTGGAGCAAATTATGCAGCTTCGGCAGGAATAGCCATTCAAAAGTGTACTGACACCTAGCGGTCGTGAAAAAAGGAAGAAACTAGCTACAGGCAGGCCATCCATCTCCTGAAGGTTGTTCGTATAATCTCCAAAGGAACACCACCAAGAATACCAAGTTTACTCCGACTGTCGAGATAGACTTAACGATCGGCTCAAGGAACAAAACTCGACGATCGGCACCTAGACGTACTTGGACCAAAATCCCCCATTCACCGAAGGTATGATGCGATCAGCTTGGAAGAAACAAACGAATTAGACTACATTCTAACTTCACCCGGAACCACAATCTCCTACCAATCGGCAGGAACGGGACCTTCCAGAAGAGAGCACCCTAGCTACCGATCAGCTAAAGAGGACAATTGGCAAAAGGGAGGCCTCGATATAACCTCCGGTCGAATGGCATGTCTCGAAACGCAAGGACACAGTGCTCGCCAACAGATCGGCCTCTAAACATCGGAACCCTTGTGCAACAACCTGCCCCCTGCCAATCCCACCATCCGTCTCCTCCTCTAGAAAGTCAATCGGATTGAGGAAGAACATAACCAATCTCGAACACCAACTTAAGGAAAGGTCCAACTAGGACCATTCACCAGCCAAATCCGAATTTTCAAACACGAAAAAGAAGTCCAAGCACTTCAGATATCGTTCTACAAAGGGGTGGAAGATCCTGTAACCCACATCCATACTTTTCCAATCAGCCTTGGGTTGCAAAGGGCTCACCGACGAAGGCCAGTGCTTACTATTTCCTTTCACCTTAGCCAGAGCCGCCCTAAATTAGTTCTACCGGCTGGAGCCAGGTACAGTAGACTTTTTTGATCAATTGAAGCAAACTTTACTCAATTATTTTATGATACAGACCGATCACCTTTATTCTGCCGATGACCTTTATGTCATCCGACAACAAGACAATGAGCCCTTGAGGGAATATGTGGCTAGGTTCAACCATGAATACTCTAGATGCCCAAAAATCGACAATTGGGCGGCCTTCGGCCCTATCAAAAGTGGCCTCCGATCGTCTCAATTTCGTTATCAAGTCCACAACAACAACTAGACAACCTACGGTGAACGGATGAAGCAAGTAGCCATCCATGCCAAAGCAAAGCATTTTAATTCCAAAGGAGCACTTTCGGCATCCCCCTGCCCGACGACGCCCATGGGTCAAGCCCCGGCGCCAACCTATGATCGCTTTTCGCCTCACCAAACTACAAACCAAGTCCCCTACCGAACGGCACCCGTTGTGTCCGAAACAACTTCAAAAGTCCGAAGAATGCTCGACTAGAGGAAGTCTTTACCTTGCTCAACTCGACTTACGAATACGTCCTCATGGCCTAGAATCAGATGATTCCAAAACTAAACAACCGAAAGCTCCCTCGCCAGAGCGATAAAGATACCGGAGTGTTATGCCAATACTACCAATACAATGACCAGGATACGGAGTCATGCATCGCGCTTTGAAAAGTCATCGAACGCCTCATCAATGAAGGCAAACTAGATCAGTACCTCAGTACAAAATCGACCCTGGAGCAACCAGCAAATCAGCATATCAACATGATCAGTGGAGGAGCGCCCATAGCCAACACCAACAACCGCACTATTAAAAAATACATGCTTGCCGTTTGGCATCCTTAAATTCTCAGCATAGCTAGAGGACGCAATGAAAAAATTCAACGAATCGGCTGGGAACCCATCACCTCTTTTGAAGAAGAGGAGAATGGCATTATCTTTCCCTATTCCGATCCTATGATCATCTGAGCCAATGTTGCGAATTTTGACATAGGCCAAATCCTTATCGACACTGGTGCCTTCAACGCCCTCAGAGTAGAACCCCAACACCTCAACAAAAACATCACCCATCTCTTGAGCTTCTCGGGTGATGTTGTTGAGCCAATTGGAAGCGTCCAACTCCCATTTGCAATTGGCACGGCCCAAGACGAACGGTCATCTACATCCACTTCCTGGTAGTCGATTGTCTGACGACATACAACGTCATCATCGGCAGACTAGCACTTACCAAAATGAAAGCCATACTGTCACCACACATGCTGCTTCTCCTAAAATTCCCCACACACGCTGGCGTTGGCCAAGTACGAGGGGACCAATTGAGTGCACAAACGTGTTACGTTTCAGCGACCAAAGAATCGACAAAGGCTACACCTCGCGAATCATATTCAGTTTCCACCCCAACGACCGTGCCAAACGACAGAGGGGCGGATCAACCCGATGATCCCAGAGATGAGGCTATCACCCACAGGCTCAGCCCATTGAGGACATGGAATCTGTGGCCCTGTTCGAAACACAACCAGATCGGCAAGTTAGGATTGGCACTACCTTCAGAACGCAGAAGTCTTCGCCTAGTCTTACAATGATATGACCAGCATCTCCCTAGTGTCATCAACAACCAGCCTAGCATCTACCTCACTTTTAAATCAATGGGGTAGAAACGATGGGCCTACGATTCCGAAAAGTATGAAGCAATGAGGCTCGAAGTAGACAAATTACAGGCAATCGGTTTCATCCGGGAAGTCATCTACTCGATCTGGCTAGCGAATTCGGTCTTGGTAAAAAAATCAAACGGCGCTTGGCGAATGTGCCAAATTATACCGATATGAACAAAGCATGCTCAAAAGATAGTTTCCCCCTGCCAAGCATCGATCAGCTAATGGACGCCATAGCAGGTCATGAGCTTCTAAGCTTCATGAACGCCTACTCAGGCTACAATCAGATCTCATTAACCCTACTGACCGCGAACATACAACATTCATTACCGATAAAGGACTCTACTGTTACGATGTCATGTCGTTCGGCCTAAAAAGTACGGGAGCGACATATCAATGTTTGGTTAACAAGATCTTCGCCGAACTCATAGGCATTTCTATGGAAGTTTATGTGGACGACATACTGGTCAAAAGCAAGACCGCCAATCGGCATCTACACAACCTCTCCCTCATGTTCGACATCCTAAAGAAGTATAACACTCTCCTCAATCCAAACAAATGTGTCTTCGGCGTTTCCTCTGGCAAATTTCTAGGCTTCATGATCAGCCAACGAGGCATTGAGGCTAACCTTGAAAAAATCAAGGCATTACTCGACATCCAGTTTCTCACTGGACGCGTCACCGCCATAGCACGATTCACATCAAAAGCCATCGACCGATGTGCCCCCTTTTTTAAAGCCCTCAAAGTGAGTAAGCGACAGATCTTCTAGACTGCTGAATGCGATCGGGCTTTCCAAGACCTTAAAACTTACATGAGCAAAGCACCTCTGCTATCTACCTTTCTCTTAGGAGAGAGCCTCGTCCTCTACCTTTCGATCTCGGCAACGGCACTCAACTCCGTACTCATTCATAAACCGAACAGTATTGAACTCCCGATCTACTATACCAGCCATGCCCTACAAGACACCAAGCTTCAGTATCCGCAGCTAGAAAAACTTGCCTACGCTCTCGTCCTCTTGGCATGTAAGCTCTGGCCCTATTTTCAGGCTCACATCGTTGCAGTGCTCACCAATCAGCCACTACGCCAAGTTTTACAGAAACCAGACACATCGGGAGGACTAATCAAATGGGCCATCGAGCTCGGGGAGTTCAACATCCACTATCACCCCCGCCCTGCCGAGAAGGGACAAGCCGTTGCTAATTTCATCTCTAAATTGACACCCCTATCAAAGGAACAAACCTACCCCAAATAGTCGTCGGTACCACCAAACTCTCTACTGACCTAGGGACAAACCGACCTGAAGAGTCCCCTTTGGACATTTTATGTCGACAGCTCATCCAACCAACAAACAACAATCGAATACGCAATTTGGTTCCAATTAAAAACCTCTAATAATGAGGTCGAGTACAAGGCCCTCTTGTCAGGCCTTTGGCTCGCCAAAGAAATGGGCACCAAACAACTCCAAATCTGCAGTGACTCTCAGTTAGTTGTCAATCAGATAAATACCGAATTTGAAGCTAAAGACGAGTTGATGGTTGCCTACTTAGCACATACCCACCGATTGCTCAAGCAATTCAGCACATACCAAATTCGACAGATCCCAAGATCTGAGAACAACCAAGCCAATGCCCTTTCACGATTAGCATCCGTGATCGACGACCGAGTAGGGCATCACATACCAATTGAGGTTCTCACTCGGAGCAGCACTACTGAAGCTGAGATACATGATGTTTGGCAGAACCCAAATTTGTGCTACTCAAATGTACTTTGCACGACTAAATCGTTTTCGTCGCGTAAATAGTAAAATGTAGTAATGTCAGCAGCCTGAGGGGATGAGGCAACAACAACAGGAGCAAAGCCTAAGCGCAGATACATGATGTCGCTAGGCTTTTGGGCTAGTCAATTCAGATCCTGATGAGGGAACTCCCCTAACATGTGCAGGATTCCGAAAAGTGGAAACCCTCTTGGACCAGGAGGCAATCTCTTCTTCTTGTTCTTGCTTTTGGACAGCCATGCTTGCAGTACTAAACCCCACAAGATATCTGTGGTTTATGTACTGCAAGCATGGCTGTCCAAAAGCAAGAACAAGAAGAAGAGATTGCCTCCTGGTCCAAGAGGGTTTCCACTTTTCGGAATCCTGCACATGTTAGGGAGTTCCCTCATCAGGATCTGAATTGACTAGCCCAAAAGCCTAGCGACATCATGTATCTGCGCTTAGGCTTTGCTCCTGTTGTTGTTGCCTCATCCCCTCAGGCTGCTGACATTACTACATTTTACTATTTACGCGACGAAAACGATTTAGTCGTGCAAAGTACATTTGAGTAGCACAAATTTGGGTTCTGCCAAACATCATGTATCTCAGCTTCAGTAGTGCTGCTCCGAGTGAGAACCTCAATTGGTATGTGATGCCCTACTCGGTCGTCGATCACGGATGCTAATCGTGAAAGGGCATTGGCTTGGTTGTTCTCAGATCTTGGGATCTGTCGAATTTGGTATGTGCTGAATTGCTTGAGCAATCGGTGGGTATGTGCTAAGTAGGCAACCATCAACTCGTCTTTAGCTTCAAATTCGGTATTTATCTGATTGACAACTAACTGAGAGTCACTGCAGATTTGGAGTTGTTTGGTGCCCATTTCTTTGGCGAGCCAAAGGCCTGACAAGAGGGCCTTGTACTCGACCTCATTATTAGAGGTTTTTAATTGGAACCAAATTGCGTATTCGATTGTTGTTTGTTGGTTGGATGAGCTGTCGACATAAAATGTCCAAAGGGGACTCTTCAGGTCGGTTTGTCCCTAGGTCAGTAGAGAGTTTGGTGGTACCGACGACTATTTGGGGTAGGTTTGTTCCTTTGATAGGGGTGTCAATTTAGAGATGAAATTAGCAACGGCTTGTCCCTTCTCGGCAGGGCGGGGGTGATAGTGGATGTTGAACTCCCCGAGCTCGATGGCCCATTTGATTAGTCCTCCCGATGTGTCTGGTTTCTGTAAAACTTGGCGTAGTGGCTGATTGGTGAGCACTGCAACGATGTGAGCCTGAAAATAGGGCCAGAGCTTACATGCAAGAGGACGAGAGCGTAGGCAAGTTTTTCTAGCTGCGGATACTGAAGCTTGGTGTCTTGTAGGGCATGGCTGGTATAGTAGATCGGGAGTTCAATACTGTTCGGTTTATGAATGAGTACGGAGTTGAGTGCCGTTGCCGAGATCGAAAGGTAGAGGACGAGGCTCTCTCCTAAGAGAAAGGTAGATAGCAGAGGTGCTTTGCTCATGTAAGTTTTAAGGTCTTGGAAAGCCCGATCGCATTCAGCAGTCTAGAAGATCTGTCGCTTACTCACTTTGAGGGCTTTAAAAAAGGGGGCACATCGGTCGATGGCTTTTGATGTGAATCGTGCTATGGCGGTGACGCGTCCAGTGAGAAACTGGATGTCGAGTAATGCCTTGATTTTTTCAAGGTTAGCCTCAATGCCTCGTTGGCTGATCATGAAGCCTAGAAATTTGCCAGAGGAAACGCCGAAGACACATTTGTTTGGATTGAGGAGAGTGTTATACTTCTTTAGGATGTCGAACATGAGGGAGAGGTTGTGTAGATGCCGATTGGCGGTCTGCTTTTGACCAGTATGTCGTCCACATAAACTTCCATAGAAATGCCTATGAGTTCGGCGAAGATCTTGTTAACCAAACATTGATATGTCGCTCCCGTACTTTTTAGGCCGAACGACATGACATCGTAACAGTAGAGTCCTTTATCGGTAATGAATGTTGTATGTTCGCGGTCAGTAGGGTTAATGAAGATCTGATTGTAGCCTGAGTAGGCGTTCATGAAGCTTAGAAGCTCATGACCTGCTATGGCGTCCATTAGCTGATCGATGCTTGGCAGGGGGAAACTATCTTTTGAGCATGCTTTGTTCATATCGGTATAATTTGGCACATTCGCCAAGCGCCGTTTGATTTTTTTACCAAGACCGAATTCGCTAGCCAGATCGAGTAGATGACTTCCCGGATGAAACCGATTGCCTGTAATTGTCTACTTCGAGCCTCATTGCTTCATACTTTTCGGAATCGTAGGCCCATCGTTTCTACCCCATTGATTTAAAAGTGAGGTAGATGCTAGGCTGGTTGTTGATGACACTAGGGAGATGCTGGTCATATCATTGTAAGACTAGGCGAAGACTTCTGCGTTCTGAAGGTAGTGCCAATCCTAACTTGCCGATCTGGTTGTGTTTCGAACAGGGCCACAGATTCCATGTCCTCAATGGGCTGAGCCTGTGGGTGATAGCCTCATCTCTGGGATCATCGGGTTGATCCGCCCCTCTGTCGTTTGGCACGGTCGTTGGGGTGGAAACTGAATATGATTCGCGAGGTGTAGCCTTTGTCGATTCTTTGGTCGCTGAAACGTAACACGTTTGTGCACTCAATTGGTCCCCTCGTACTTGGCCAACGCCAGCGTGTGTGGGGAATTTTAGGAGAAGCAGCATGTGTGGTGACAGTATGGCTTTCATTTTGGTAAGTGCTAGTCTGCCGATGATGACGTTGTATGTCGTCAGACAATCGACTACCAGGAAGTGGATGTAGATGACCGTTCGTCTTGGGCCGTGCCAATTGCAAATGGGAGTTGGACGCTTCCAATTGGCTCAACAACATCACCCGAGAAGCTCAAGAGATGGGTGATGTTTTTGTTGAGGTGTTGGGGTTCTACTCTGAGGGCGTTGAAGGCACCAGTGTCGATAAGGATTTGGCCTATGTCAAAATTCGCAACATTGGCTCAGATGATCATAGGATCGGAATAGGGAAAGATAATGCCATTCTCCTCTTCTTCAAAAGAGGTGATGGGTTCCCAGCCGATTCGTTGAATTTTTTCATTGCGTCCTCTAGCTATGCTGAGAATTTAAGGATGCCAAACGGCAAGCATGTATTTTTTAATAGTGCGGTTGTTGGTGTTGGCTATGGGCGCTCCTCCACTGATCATGTTGATATGCTGATTTGCTGGTTGCTCCAGGGTCGATTTTGTACTGAGGTACTGATCTAGTTTGCCTTCATTGATGAGGCGTTCGATGACTTTTCAAAGCGCGATGCATGACTCCGTATCCTGGTCATTGTATTGGTAGTATTGGCATAACACTCCGGTATCTTTATCGCTCTGGCGAGGGAGCTTTCGGTTGTTTAGTTTTGGAATCATCTGATTCTAGGCCATGAGGACGTATTCGTAAGTCGAGTTGAGCAAGGTAAAGACTTCCTCTAGTCGAGCATTCTTCGGACTTTTGAAGTTGTTTCGGACACAACGGGTGCCGTTCGGTAGGGGACTTGGTTTGTAGTTTGGTGAGGCGAAAAGCGATCATAGGTTGGCGCCGGGGCTTGACCCATGGGCGTCGTCGGGCAGGGGGATGCCGAAAGTGCTCCTTTGGAATTAAAATGCTTTGCTTTGGCATGGATGGCTACTTGCTTCATCCGTTCACCGTAGGTTGTCTAGTTGTTGTTGTGGACTTGATAACGAAATTGAGACGATCGGAGGCCACTTTTGATAGGGCCGAAGGCCGCCCAATTGTCGATTTTTGGGCATCTAGAGTATTCATGGTTGAACCTAGCCACATATTCCCTCAAGGGCTCATTGTCTTGTTGTCGGATGACATAAAGGTCATCGGCAGAATAAAGGTGATCGGTCTGTATCATAAAATAATTGAGTAAAGTTTGCTTCAATTGATCAAAAAAGTCTACTGTACCTGGCTCCAGCCGGTAGAACTAATTTAGGGCGGCTCTGGCTAAGGTGAAAGGAAATAGTAAGCACTGGCCTTCGTCGGTGAGCCCTTTGCAACCCAAGGCTGATTGGAAAAGTATGGATGTGGGTTACAGGATCTTCCACCCCTTTGTAGAACGATATCTGAAGTGCTTGGACTTCTTTTTCGTGTTTGAAAATTCGGATTTGGCTGGTGAATGGTCCTAGTTGGACCTTTCCTTAAGTTGGTGTTCGAGATTGGTTATGTTCTTCCTCAATCCGATTGACTTTCTAGAGGAGGAGACGGATGGTGGGATTGGCAGGGGGCAGGTTGTTGCACAAGGGTTCCGATGTTTAGAGGCCGATCTGTTGGCGAGCACTGTGTCCTTGCGTTTCGAGACATGCCATTCGACCGGAGGTTATATCGAGGCCTCCCTTTTGCCAATTGTCCTCTTTAGCTGATCGGTAGCTAGGGTGCTCTCTTCTGGAAGGTCCCGTTCCTGCCGATTGGTAGGAGATTGTGGTTCCGGGTGAAGTTAGAATGTAGTCTAATTCGTTTGTTTCTTCCAAGCTGATCGCATCATACCTTCGGTGAATGGGGGATTTTGGTCCAAGTACGTCTAGGTGCCGATCGTCGAGTTTTGTTCCTTGAGCCGATCGTTAAGTCTATCTCGACAGTCGGAGTAAACTTGGTATTCTTGGTGGTGTTCCTTTGGAGATTATACGAACAACCTTCAGGAGATGGATGGCCTGCCTGTAGCTAGTTTCTTCCTTTTTTCACGACCGCTAGGTGTCAGTACACTTTTGAATGGCTATTCCTGCCGAAGCTGCATAATTTGCTCCAGACCATCCTGCAGTGGGGTCGAGTGTGATTGCTGATCATAAAGCTGTCTCTGAGTGTCGTCGAGTTTGGAGGAAATATTATTGTTGTATTCCTGCATTTTTGCCATTTCCTATTGCAGGGCTTCCATTCTAACCTCCAGAGTGTTTCGCTAACGAGTGTTTTCGTCCAAGGTGTGCCGGAAAAGGGAGCGAGGCTTGCTCCGCTTGCGAGGCCGATGATGGTACCGTTGGTCGCGAAGGATGAAGGTAGATTCATCTTTGGCTCGAGATAGGGAGATATGGGTCGATTTGATAGTCATTTCCCACAAATGGTGCCAATCTTTTTGCCCTAAAACTAAACAGATAGAGATATATGCAACTTACAAGTGACGTGGATGATCAAAGGATCGAGTGAGCTCTTGGTGCAAGCACGTTCTTCCTTGGGATGCGATGCTTAGACCTGGGCTAAGAAGAGAAACAACGGAAGAGTTCAAGAGCACCAGTGTAGTACCAGTCGAAGACCCTCCAATGCTAAAGTAAGTTTGAGGAAGAGCTTTGCTATTTGACAAATGCTAGGGCATGAGAATCAAGCTGAAAGTCTTATACTTTGTCTAGGGCAAGGGGCCCTATTTATAAAGAGTGCTTGGTATGCTCTTAGTAATTAGTTTCGATGTGGGACTTGTGGGAGTGCCCTCTGAGGTCCAACGAGTCTCCACAAAATATCCAAGTGGGGAGGGGTTTTCGAGTTTGTCTCGCATAATCGGCACGACGCACCGATCGTATGTCCGAGGAGCTTCCGGAAGTGCTTGCCGATCGGAGGGGTGACGACTATGTTTGGTGATGAATTAGTCGCAGACATCGATTCATACTTAACTGGTCTGTCAATGAGCTGCATTGTTTTCCTAGCTTCATACTCTTTCCACATGTCATGATGTGAGTGGAATGGTCAGCTACGATACAAACACTATACAATATATATATATATATATATATACTAGCTCCTTGGCACATGCTCACGCATGTCCCAATTGATTTTTTTTTAATTATTATTTTTAGTATTAAGAAAAGATAACATGAGTAGTTATTATTTGATTTCATTTTTAATTTTAATTTTTTTAATATAAAAATGTGAATTTACCATATTATCATAATTTAATTAATAATTTCAATTCTTAATGTTTGAATTAACCAATGACATTTTTTTGTATTTTGAATGTTTCACCATTCTTTACCTTTTGCTTTATATATATAGATAGATAAGTCCATGTGTTAATATATTAATTTAGAAAAGGAAAAAAAAGAGTAAGTAGAATAAAGCTACAGCTGGATTTAGAAAAGGCAATAAAGATATTAATTCTCTTGCCTTAAGTTTATTACAAATTAAGTAAGAAAAAAAAACAGAAACTTGCGTTTTTTTCAATCTTAACACCTATAGTGAAACGACGTCGTTTTATTTTTTTTTTTTTTTTTTTTTTTTTTTAAAATTGCAATCGAAACGAAACGTCGTTTCATTACAATAAACCTAAAAAGAAAACACGCGAGTCGTCTTCCTCAGCCAATTTGCGCACGCCTTCCAACACATCCTTACGCCTTCCCCGCGCTAAACGTGCGACTCGTGAAACAGCCGGCCGCCTCTGGTGATTTCCTGCCGCCTCGCTCCGACGCGCGAGAAGGCATGCCTTTAAAAACACTGCCAGTGACCGATTTCAATGTTGCGGAGGCAAAGGAGCCCCAGGATGCGAAACAAGAAGCTCAATTCACAGACCCAGATGGTATAATTTCACTTCACGCATCTTATATTTGTGTTTCTATTGACAGCATTTGTACTTAATTTATTCAATTTTTGGGTTTTTTTTTTCTGTTATTTTCTTTTTATAGGTGGATTGTTAACGTTCAATGGGTAGTAGTAATACGGTTTCCATTTTAATGAGAAACTCTGCTTCTGATTCTCCATCGGAAAAGAATGATGTCTTTATTTTTCTTTTGATGTTGGGCTGTCCATCCTTCTATTAGTCTGAAAAAGTTTTGATTTTCTAATCCCCTCTTTATCGTCATCTGTCTAAAATCCAGATTCAATGAGCAATTTTTGGGAATTTAAGTTGCTAAATTATATTTTAGAAATCAAATTTCAATTAATTTGTGACCAAATGCTCGTATTGTTTGTTTGTGTTTTCACAGTAGAGCGGCAAATTTCTGCCATTAGGGTTATTCGTGATGTTGAGACTGAACATCTCCTGACTAATTTGCGTTTGCTTCGCTCCTACTTCAACAAGGAACAGCAGCGAACCCCTCTATTGCAATATTTTAAAGAGAACTTTCAAAACCTGTCGAATGTAAGAAATGGAGAAAATGGACAAATGGAAGTGCAATGGATTGATAAAGATGGCAATGTATCCATGAATGATGGAATGGATTTACATGAGACTCTTCTTCGCCGGTTGTCCATTGCTTATTCTGGTTGTTCAGCAGCAATTCCATCTCTTGGTGGCTTTGAGTTTTCTAGTAAAGCAGGTATTAGCAACTTTAGAAACTCCTATTTTTTGGACATGGGGATCTGGAATTTGAGGAACAAGTTTGTACCCCTCATTGTTTGAGTGTTTTTTTATATCTCACATGATTGAGTTGGTTGGTGGCAGATAAAGCAAGCCTTCTGGGTGCTGATAATCTGCAGATCAGCGACTTTGTATGTTCTCTTCTTATATACACGTCTAGATTAGTGGAGTTTTCAAATGTGTCTAACACGAAAATCAAAATGTTTAAATACATTTTTATATGCTTATGTAGCACACATGCAATTAATATATAGTGAAGGTTCAATTCCATGTTGTGCATACAAACAGACACATGACGCGCACACACATACACATATGCACACAGTCACACATGTATATGCACATACACACACATGCATATGCAAATACACACACATGCATGCATAAATGCATACATCCATCCATTCATACACATACAGATATTTACCTTGCTGAAATTTCTATTGTAGGGTTTAGAGTAGCCATTTGATAGTCTGATGCTAGGGAAGCAAGATACTCTCCAAACTCCTGGGGTTTGTAGCTTCTCGATTGATTTATCATATTTGGGTCTATTCAGGCTGCAATTGGTTTGATTATGACAATTTGTGTTGTTCTGTTGAAAGCTTTTGGTTAGATTTCAAATTCTTTTACCATAAATTTGAATAAGTAGAAGGCCTAAACGGCTTACTGAAGTGCATGAGCTCCAGAAGTATAGATGCTATCAGTGTCTATCCTCAGGACCTATAAGAAGTGCTAAGCTGATTTTCTATTAGTGCTAACAACTACGAGTGAACCCTTGTTGCTTTAGTGAATTTACGTCAATTAGGGAGATTATGTTGTAAGCCCTTTCAGAATGTTGAAGAGTCCAAAGTTCTGGACTTCTGAAAAAAAAAACCCAGTAATGTTGACATAGAAATCGATATGTAAAGGGGAAAACCGGAAAATATTATTAAGTTCAGTGACCTTAATTGTGTTGAGAGAAAAATAAGTTATTAGGACAAGTTTTCTAGGTATTGAGTTGTGACAAGAGTGTGCAAAAGTTAGTACTTAGTTGAACTTCTAATGTAGTTGTTGATTGCCATAAAACTCTCTGCTGTTGTACTGTTGGATATACTATTGAGCAAAAAGAGCATCTTGATGGCTCTTCCAGTTCGTATGATCTAATCAATCCTGGTTGACGCTGCAGGTGAGTAGCCAGAGGCTGTCTATTGGGATGACACCGAAGACGCGAAGGCTCCCGAAGCCTGGGGAGATGCTCTTATCTGTCCATGGCTCACCCCTTGGTGATTACAAGGAAGACAACATGGAAGCCATACATGGTATGAATCCCTTCCAATGAGTACCTGTTCTCTCTCTTGTTTATAATATCAACACTACAGCTAGCACATGATTGCCATTTATCAAGTGGAATTTATTTGGGCCTTTGAATTTCATATTTATCTTTCTTCCCTTTGTGAGACTATGGCAAATATACCCTTTTATGTAATGGATGGACTCATGCTATGTACGGGAGTGAATAATATGTCCCTTAAACTGAAAATTTTCATTTCTTTTGCTTTCATTCTAATTAATGGATTGATGGGCAGAGTCGGAAGAGGGATGACTGGCTTGAATTGGCTCAAGTGGTCAATCAGGATTCACGACCGTGCATTACTTGCCAATTCAAGGTTCTTTAATTTACTTCTAGCATTGTGCTAACAATCACTGTAGTGCCTGAAAATGCTCTTGTATCATTGTACTGACACCTTTGAGATTGGATTTATGTGAAATATATTCTATCATTTTCCCTGTATATAATTCATATGTAATTTTCGTCATTTGTTAGTAATTTCCCAAGAGAATCAAACATGAACGTTGATTTAAGCCAGAGCATAGTGATAGACTACTCGGTTTCACTGTCAATTCATTTCTATCCACCAACATTGCTTTGATTTTTGCTTCTTAGTCATTCAAATGTAGTTGGCCCCTTTCAGATTTTCCATAAATGCCAAATAATTTTAACTTTTTGTTTGGTGTAATTCTCTGTGTTGTAGAAATGTGTGTTTGTGTCATGTTTAGGTCCATGTCATGAGTAAGATTTTGGTATCTCATTAACTTCTATTTCTTGCCTCTGCCGGCCCCATTCACGTCAATCTGCCGACGGAGCAGGTGTTGCTGTCTTAAAGTGTCATTTGGTCTATATCCCATGCGTTCTTGGTCTTCCTCTTGTCCTTTTAGTGGCTTCCCTTTGATTTGAAACAGATAAGAAGTTTATTACTTTGCCTGGTAATAATTTTATCTGCCGTTTTCATTTTCTTGCAATTCTACTGCTTTTATAATCTTCTCTCCCATTTGCAGTAAAAAAAAGGCCTGTACTCTTCTCACACTAGTGTGTGATTTCTTCTAATGTAGATGAAGCAAAATTTTACATAAGCGAATGTATGGTAATTACGCACTCTTTTTCCTTTCATTTTGGTTTTGGTTTTTGTTTTTTTGGGTGTGATTTATTTTGTTTTGTTTTGTTTTGCTAATGGAACCCTTTCTGAGCATGTTAAATAAATTCAAGTAACTCGAGTTCAAAGTTGTTAAATGGATAATTTTTTATGTCTGAAATTCCCCTGCGTCATAAAAAAAACAAACTGAAGTTTTGAGGACAAATCAAATTGGTCTTGTAGGCCTAGAGAGAAACTGATGGAATCCTGTCATAAACCAGTAGGGAATTCTTCTCTGCCGGCTGAATATACTCCATCATAGAAACGATCGACATCATATTTTAATTTTGAAGTGTGCCTTGATATTACATCCATCCAAATATAACATAGAAACAAAGAAACAAGGAAACAAAGAAACAAAGAAACAGATTAGGACCCTTGTTTATTAAAATTCCTCCTTGATATCCACTTCACAATAATTTAGTCGGCAGTAGCTTGAGACAAGAAATTCCATAAACAACTGGGAATTATTTCTCATCCATATCCTTGAGAATTTGGGAGTAATTAAATTAAAAAAATTTCATTTATTAATGAATGCGAAAAATATAATTTAAGCTAAGCTAAGAGTGCTTTTTCCTTGATATCCACTTCAAAATAATTTCAGTTCCATAAACAACTTATCTCATCCATGTCTACGAGAATTTGGTATCAATTAAAATAAAGTTACTCATTCCTTAATTAAAATAAAAAATAGAAAATAATAAGGCATAGCCAGACATTAAACTTAGCCAAGAGTGTTTTTCTAGGGTGTTGTTATTTGGACCGCATTTACTGACTAGTCATTGCTGACCACCTGTCTAGTACAAATACAGATGGATCTCACATACACTGGTGGGGTCCACCTCTATTAGAGAAGTGGTCAGCAAGGTAGTCAGTAAATATGGTCAAAATAGCATTATTGGTTTTTTTTAATTCCATCTTCAGTGCCGGATAAATTTTCAAATAAAGCTTGGCTCCTCAAACAAGAGGTTGAACTTGCCCCTACTCATGTCAATATTAAACCCAAAAATAAAAGAAAAAAATAATTCAAGTCATTGATATTGTAACTAATCGTGAGATCAAAGTGCTCCTATAAATATTTGCAGTGCAATATTAAACCTACTCAACCATTTAAGCACAACCAACAAGCTCAATCACCAACCTTATAGCTGTGTAGTAGAGTTAGCCATGGATTGGGTTGGGGCAATACTTGGGTTGCTTGCTCTTGTTTATGTACTGCAAGCATGGCTGTCCAAAAGCAAGAACAAGAAGAAGAGATTGCCTCCTGGTCCAAGAGGGTTTCCACTTTTCGGAAACCTGCACATGTTAGGGGAGTTCCCTCACCGGGATCTGCATCGACTAGCCCAAAAGCACGGCGACATCATGTATCTGCGCTTAGGCCTTGCTCCTGTTGTTGTTGCCTCGTCCCCTCAGGCTGCTGAGCTGTTTCTCAAAACACATGACCTTGTTTTTGCAAGTAGGCCACCTCTTCAAGCTGCTGAACATATTTCCTACGGGCAAAGGAATTTGTCCTTTGGTGCATATGGCTCCTATTGGCGAACCATGCGTAAGATGTGCACCCTAGAGTTGCTTAGCAGCCACAAAATCAATTCTTTCAAGCCCATGAGGAAAGAAGAGCTTGCCCTCTTGACTAAGTTCATTCAAGAGGCTGCTCGTGATCGTGTTACTGTTGATCTCAGTGGCAAGGTTGCGTCTCTCACTGCCGACATGAGCTGCCTGATGGTGTTTGGGAAGAAGTACATGGATAAAGAATTTGACGAGAGGGGTTTCAAGGCTGTGATCCAAGAGGGCATGCATTTATCAGCCACCCCAAACTTTGGTGATTTCATTCCTTTTATTGCTCCACTTGACCTCCAGGGGCTAACTAAGCGCATGAAGGGTGTTAGCAAGGTGTTTGATGCATTTTTTGAAAAGATCATTGATGAGCATATTCAATCTACAGATCAAGAAAGAACTAAGGACTTTGTTGATGTCATGCTGGGCTTCATGGGGTCAGAAGAATCCGAGTACCGAATCGAACGCTCCAACATCAAAGCTATAATTTTGGTAATTATACATACCCTATATATATTAGCATGCATCAATCCATATTCAACAATCCATATTCAACAATCAACCTAATCAACGGTTCAAATTCACAATTTGCCAAACCCTACTACATATCTTACAATAAATGGTGTTTCTGTCCAAATATTTCCTTGCAGGACATGCTCGCCGGCGCAATGGACACAACAGCGACAGCAATCGAGTGGACGCTCTCCGAACTCATCAAGCATCCGCGGGTGATGAAGAAAGTCCAGAAAGAGTTAGAAAACGTAGTGGGCATGGAGAGGGAGGTGGAAGAATCAGACTTGGGGAAGTTGGAGTACTTGGACATGGTAGTAAAGGAGACCATGAGGCTTCATCCAGTGGCACCATTGCTGCTTCCCCATGCGGCCATCGAGGACTGCAATGTCAATGGCTTCCACATACCCCAAAAATCTCGTGTTATGATCAACATATTTGCAATTGGGAGAGACCCGAGTATTTGGACTGATGCAGAGAAGTTCATACCCGAAAGGTTCGACGGTAGCAATATCGATTTTCGGGGACGTGACTTTCAATTTATTCCATTTGGGTCTGGCAGGAGAGGTTGCCCCGGAATGCAATTAGGGATAACTATGGTCCAGCTTGTGGTGGCACAACTTGTTCATTGTTTTGATTGGGAGCTTCCAAATAATATGTTGCCGTCTGAGTTGGACATGACGGAGGAGTTTGGTCTAACAGTTCCTAGGGCTAAGCATCTATTGGCAGTTCCTACTTATCGCCTTCAGCAGCAATGATATCGATACTAATATGTCTGTGTACAATTTCCATTTTCATAATTTGATATTTGGTAGTGTCAGAATAAACCAACCAAATTTATCAGGTAAGACCATTTGTTGCGGGGATATCAATGAGCCAAATTAACAAGTTCTATTATCCATGATTTACTCATGTGTTATAAGGCTGTCATAATAATTTGAGTTTCACTTTGTTATGAATGTATTTAATTCTATATACTATATACTGAGTGTTGAAATACGTGCAACCTATGTATATAGGTGCCTAGGATTGACCAAAGGTGACCATAAATTTCATGCTAAATCACCTTAATTCATAATTCTTGAGTGTTGTTTATAGATTTTATTAAAGGGAGTTTCACTAATATACTCAAAATAGAGGATGAAATTAAAATAAAAATAAAAAAATAAAAAAATAAAAAAACCCATATGGAATGCACTTTAGAAACACACTCAAAATCCATTTACTATATAAGAAATTGGTGTTGAAGTTTCTATAAATTACAGGACTGCCACTGATCTAGCCCAACAGAAAAAAACTCAAAAAGCACCCAAAACACGCCCAGCCTAATTTTATAAAAAAAGCCCAAACATTTTTTTTTTGGAGTTACAAAAAGCCCAAACATTTTTTTTTTGGAGTTACAAAAAGCCCAAACATTTTATTACAACCCAAAACTATATCGAAAACCGTAACTTCAAGCACACATCTTCATTAAACCATCTCTGCAAAACGTCTCTTCATTTCACCGTCTTCATCAACGCATCTTCATCATCTATGCAAATTGAAACTCCATAACCACCACCAAGCTTGATCTACTTTCAAAAACCAACACCACACACTAACCTCCACCTACAAAACCAAGATAAAATTTCAGAGAACAATTTAAACAAGAAAAGGCTTCAAAGGTAAGACATTTAAAAACCAAACCTTTACTGTAATGTTGATTAATTGTTGTAAAATTTCAATCTAGGGTAATAACTGTATTTTAGATTCAAATCCAGGACAAAATCTTGAAACTATATTGGATTGACTGCATAGGACTATAAAATAGTCAGTTTTCAGCAACTCAAAAAAGAAAGAGATATTTAGAAATATACATATTCTTAACACTACTAGTTTACTGTCATGTTAATTAATGACTATAAAGTTCTAGTGTAGGGTAATAACACTGCTTGTTTCCTATGGAATCATATTTCTAATTTATGTCTACCACTGTAAAGTTTTAGTTTAGGGTATTAACACACCTAGTTTCCTATTAAATCCTATTTCTAATGCATATCTGCCATTGTAAAGTTCCAATCTAGGATAATAACAATATTTTAGATTTGAATCCAGGACAAAATCTTGAAACTATATTGGATTTTCACTGTTGGACTGACTGCAAAGGACTATAAAATAGTCGGTTTTCAAAAAACTAAAAAAAAAAAAAAAAAAAAAAAAAAAAAAAGTTAGTAATACCCATTCTTAACACATCTAGTTTACTGTCATGTTGATTAATGGATGTAAAATTCTAGTATAGGGTAATAACACTACTTGTTTCCTATGAAATCCTATTTTGAATGCATGTCTACCATTGGGTAATAACACTGCTTGTTTCATAAGAAATCCTATTTCTAATGCATGTCTACCATTGTAAAGTTTCAGTCTATGGTAATAACACTGCTGGATTCCTCTGAAATTCTATTTCTAATGCATGTCTACCGCCTGTAAAGTTCCAGTATATGGTCATAACACTACTAGTTTTTTATAAAATCTTATTTCTAATGCATGTCTACCACTGTAAAGTTCCAGTATATGGTAATAAGTTAATAACACTGCTTGTTTCCTATGAAATCCTATTTCTAATGCATGTCTACCCACTATAAAGTTCCAGTATAGGATAGTAACACTGCTACTTAACACGAATTATAGTTGACTCAAAAACTAAAAAACCAATAGTGCATAAATAGAAAAAACACAAATATGCTCAGATTTAATTGAAAAAGCATACCTCAATTAATACGAAAACCAAATCGAATATCACAAATTTGTAACCACAACTCAAACCAAAACACAAGAGCAAATCCACTATCAAACCGAATCTGAAATCAATCCAAATTATAAACAAAAAGAAATTAAAATCACAATGTAAAACTCAAACGAATATGTAAATACAAATTAGAATGAAATCAGAAAAATCCAATAGCTTACCTCCAAATCAATAATAACAAAAATAAACAGATAAAATCGAGAAGAATTGGATATGCATTTCAAATTTAAACTCCAAAACAGCAAAAATTACAAAAACCTAATCAACAACTTAATTAATTGAACATTAAATCACCAAAAATTAGACTATAATAAAATTGAATATGAATTCACAAGAAAAAACTGAATACCTCAAAATCAAAGATTGCAGATCGCACAAAGCTCCAATTGAATCTCATGCAGCACAACACCACTCCAAAAATCACCAATTCAAACAAGAAGAAGAAGGAAAAAAAAAAGAAAAAAGAAAAAGAAAAAGGGCAATAGAACTCCAATCTACACCTCACACCAAAAATCAAGCTCAGAAGAATCGAAAATGGAGATCTGGAACCAGATCATACTGCGCTTAGTTCGAAGAGGTGAACAAAGCTTGCTTCGTTTGGAATATTTGATTTCTCAAATAGAAATCATGACTGCAAAACATGTTTTAGTTATGAGGTCACCAATGTAATTTTCAAGACATTCCTATCCTAGCTGGCGAGTTTTGGGCCTGTTTTCTCATTTATGTTTAAGTTTCTTTCCCATTATGAGTAGCTAAATCCATATCTAGGGCTTCGATGTAACCTAACATGAACATTCTAGGTTTATAAATTTCAAGTTTCAAGTTTGATTCATGATCATGTCCTTATTCATTATGCCTACCTGCCTATTTGCTAATCGGAATGCCTAACTACCATTCAGATTTGTGTATCTTGGTTGGAATTAAGAGTAGACACCATATGCCTTAATTCTAATTGAACTATGAATAGGAAGAGTATGTATGGTCATTTGACAACAGAGATTAGATACATGCTTGGTTGTTTAAAACATTCTTCTATGTTTAATGGATTTATAATACTTAATTTAGGTTTGACAACAAGAATCTAATTATGGAATTAGGAATACAAGGTTAGGACCAGGCACCATGGCTTAATCATACTTTAGCTAGAATCAATCTTTGAATCTGAATTAGACTTGTCACTTGAATCCTTATAAACTAGAATTGGATTGTTATGGTGAATCAAATGCTCTAGCCTCCAAATATGTTTTCCAACCCTTAAGACCACTCTTTGTTACACTTATTTACTTGCTTTCGTTTGCAATTTCATTTTGTCCATTTGTTTTTACAATCACAACCCCTCTCACTTCAAATTCCAATTTCATTTTGCTTCATTTGTTTCCAAACTCAATCTCACTTTAAAATCTGTTTTAGCCTTAACTTCTAGTTTCTAGAATTGGGCAATCTAGGTACAAAATTAATCTGAACTTCTCGGTCGTCATGGGTACGACCTCGTACTTGTCTTGTTATACTACTAATTGGCCCATACATGTTTGGGCCTAAATTCCACGTGCCAGCCAAATTGCCATTGGTCCATGTCAAAAAGCTGGAGTTTGGGCCTTGTTTAAAAGTTAGAAATCAGCCCAAAATGGTTTTTAGATGCCTATACCTTTGTAAAACCAATTAGCAACGATAAAATTCACAAATTAAAGATTAATTGTCATTAAATGGTGATTTAATATGAACAAAATAAGTTTCTAATTGATTTCAGGATTAGGCCTAACTTCTAAACTCTTCAAAAGCCCAAAATTTTTGATCGTCACCGTTGATCTCAATTCTAGAGTTCTAAATCAGCAGATCTTTTTGAAAGATCTTTTCTCTTAGAAGAAAGCCCATGAGACATCAAAAAAGTCAAAATTTTCGATGGGCAGAGGATGTGATGGGGAGCTGGTAAAAGGGTTAATTGGAAAACCACTTCCCCATAACCATTTAATGCTAGAAAAGGAAGAGCAAGTTTCCTTCCTATACTCATTGGGGGGCTGCATCAGACAAGTTGTGTTTACAAAAAATAAATAGGAGACAAGGAAGTTTTTCGTCGGAAAAGCAAATGGACCATCATAGAAACTGACAGTTAATAAGTCTGTTGTTTTTGTCATAATAATAACTCCCCTTTTCTTGCATTACGAAAAGAAAATCCTTTCGAAAGATCTCCCCTTCAAATATTAAAGATTAAACCCACATTCAGATTCTGTATAAATATAAGAGGAGGTGAACAGCGTTGGAGGCAGCCAAAAAATTCAAACAAAACAAAAACTCTCAAAGTCATACTAACAAATTCAAAACAAGATCAGTCAATCTCAAAAGTCTTCGTACTTTGAAGCAACCAACCTCTTTGATTGACAAAAGACAGATAAGCCAGAACTTAGGCTTCTGACTTCAGTTCAATTTAAAGAAACAGTTTATGAAGGAAATGAGATTTCTCTCGTTACAAATTTGATTCAGTGTAAGTCAAATCAAGCAGAATTCGGGTTTGCCATAATATGAAAACCTTAACAAATTCATAGAAATGCCTCGATCTCTCAGGATTGCCAGAATAGCTTTTGGATGATTCATAATCAAGTAAAACAGGTACTGTGGTGAAGCTCCAGGCTAGCAATCATCAATCCAGCCACTTCCAATCTTGTCCAGACTAAAGAAATCTCCATTCTGCCCATCTAGCAAGCTTCTCCATGTCTAGGATAGATTAAAGCTCTGCCAATCTCAACATTGGTATCGATTTCCAGCTGAGCCTCATCAGCTGAAGGTGCTACGTTTGAATCCAGCATAGATACACCCAGTCCAACCTGAGTTACAGGCAACAATCCAAGCAGAAATCGAAGCCCAATATTCTGTTGTCCCTTCAGACATGGCAGTCCCCTTTTGTCTTGAAAGTTGTGTAATAGGAAGTTTTTCTTAGAACATTTTGATTTGTTTTTCAATATTCATTTTGGCCAGAACTACTAGTTTAATGTGATAAATTGTGAAGTCCTCACCAGTCTGAGGCAAGAAAAGAATTTACTTGGGAGATATTCCTCACCCAAATTCATAATCACTTGTTTAAAGTCAGTAACTTGGGGCACAAGTTATCTATTTTTCATAAGTCTATTAGGGTTTTTAAAACTGCTAGCAGTGGCATACTCACACACCAAAGAAATGTGACTTGTTGACCACCAATTGTTTTCAAGCTAATAGGGAACTTTATGCTACCATCACAGGACTAGGTCTAAACGTGTGAACAATTTGGCATGCCCAGTGCAACTTCTCAGTATGCGTACTCCTAAAGAGCTTCTTTTAGTGAATGAATATTGGAAGTCCTTGCAAGAATCCACACTTTGCCATGGAAAGAGATCAACCAGCTTTCCGAGAAGAAAAAGATGAATTAGAGGAGAGTGATGCTAGGCATTCAACTCAAGGCAGTACCAGGAGTAGACGTTCCCAATCCGGCTCCAAAAGGATGAACTAGATACAGGATGCCGTGCTTTGACAAAGAAGTCAGGACACTGTGAACAACATGACAACCATGATGTAATGGTAGGTTAACAGGCAGTTCAGAAAGGACCGTAAGGCTGTTGATGCAAGAAATCCAAATCCATATGCTGTAGTCCAACAGTGTGAACAACATGACAACCATGATGTAATGGTAGGTTAACAGGCAATTCAGAAAGGATCGTAAGGCTGTTGATGCAAGAAATCCAAATCCATATGATGTAGTCCAACAGCTGGAACTCCCTTTTAGACCTCCACCAAGATTGGCATGGCCATACCAGGAAAATCCATTTATTGCACAGATAGCTAGAATACCGGAAACCAACAGAGATCCAGGCTAGAAAAAAGGGAGGAGTCTTTGCCATCCAAGAGCAGGAAGCTCCAGTTCTTACACTAGGCCCAGCACCAGTTCAGGCCCCCCATAACCAGCCAGAACTTCCACCTGTTCCACAGCCAGAGGTTCCACGTAACTAGCCAGTGGCACATCTACCTGAACGGCCAGCCGTATTGCCTTACATACCTAGAATGATGGATCCCAATCCATTTCCTCCTCTAACAACAGGTAGAGGGGGAATGAACCCTTTTGCCAACAATGACAGGAATAGGCTAGGGGCAAACTGGAGAAATTATCCAAATTTCGAAGATGAAGAGGAGCATAGGGAAGAGGTCATACCCAGACCATACAGAATGGAACAGAGGGCTAAACACAATCAGCCAGAATTGGGACGAAACTTACCTCATATTAACGCCTTGAATGACATAGAGGCACTGCAAAGAATGATCAGAGAAATGATGGATCCTAAAGCCAGAAGAGGAGAAAGGCCCACTTATAGGAAGCCATATCCAACTTATATTAATCAGATGCCTCTATCCCTAGGTTTTAAAGTACTAATGGAGAAGACGCTTATGCGTCATCAGTCGAACACATAGGCAGATTCTCTGTCCAGTGCATGGCTATAGATAATAATCCCTTACTCAAGCTTAGGTTTTTTGGGAATTCCCTGTCTTGACAAGCTCTTACCCAGTATACCAATTTACCAACCAATTCCATCTAGACATGGGAGCAAATGGAGAACGTTTTCCATGACTACTATTTCAAAATTCAGTCAGAAGTCACCATCAGTGACGTTGCTACTCTTAAATAGAGTGAAGATGAACTTGCCCAGGATTTCATCACTAGGTTTAGGAAGCTCAAAATGAAGTGCAGAATCCACATGGAAGAAAGGCATTTCATCCAAATGGCCTAGACCGCCCTCAAGATTTCTCTGAGAAAGAGATTCGATAGAATGATGTTTGGAGATTTGGCAAAACTGGCAGACAAGGCCACCAAGTATGAAGAACTGCTAAAGGAAGAGCAACATAAGAAAAAGTCTTCCAAAGGCACGTACTACAAGACACTATCTTCCTTAGTCCATTCAGTTGAATTCAAATAAGAAGAAGGCCAAGAAAGTTCAAATGAAATGGAGGTAGCAGTAGCAGAAATGGAAAAACTAAAGCACCCTATCAGCTGCAAGGCTTTGATAAAGCAACCAAAGGATCAAAAGCCACTGCCATTTACGGAGGGTTTGTCCCAAACAAACTAGCATAGAACAAGGTCTATTCTTTTGATTTAACCAAAGTTGATGCTTTGTTTGATGAAATGCTCCTACAAAAGGGGATAGAAATGCCTCACAAGTTGCCTAAGTCAGAAGAACTCAAGGGCAGACAATATTGCAAATGGTGTAACTCTTGTAATCACTCCACCAATAGCTGTGTTGTTTTCAGAGACATCATACAGGAAAGGATAACAATAGGAATGCTCAAGCTAGCTGAGACCCCCCCCCCCCCCCCCCCCCCCCCCCCCCCCCCCCCCCACAAGAGACAACATACAACTTTTCCTCAACCACAAGTGAACATGGTCAATTTAAACTAGCTAGAACAGGAGAAAGGCAAACTGACAGTGTAAGTTAACCTTAACATTGGTAGGAGAGTCACAAAAGAGGTGAATCGAAAGCCAAAAAATCTTATTTCAGCTAGAGATAGCTTTGGATGAACAGAAACGACGCACAATGAGTGTTTTTGACAGAATTGGAGCGTCATGCCGGCAGACCTCAGTTCTGGCTCCATGCAGGGACACAGTCAGACAGAAATCCTATCATATCAAAGGCCTGCCTAACACATTAGAAAGGTGACTGAGCAACCAAATAAGGAAATACCAATCAAAATACTGGGAATGATAGGCCATTGGCAACTATCATAGAAGGCAAATGGTATTCTGTTGGAAAGAACGGCAGACCAACTTTAGAGCTGACCAAAACACAGATAAGGAGAATCCAGAGGCAATACTACACTTTCCTCAAGAATAGGGACAACACACTAGTGTTTGCAGAGATCAATTCTGCCAGAATTGAGAATGATTCAGAAGAGGATTTTCAAGCAGAGCAGGCAGTGTACCAACAGGAGGAGCTGACATAAGCAGGATTTCCAAATAAATTCTCCATCCACTAAGGTTCATCTTCGAATAATCAGTTGGAGTTTTCACAATTACAAGGTCAGTCTGGACCTCTTCCAGTAGGTGACCAAGAGGACTAGACTGAAGAATACGAGGAAGAGTAGGTCGATTATGAACTGTCTGCAAACGACCAGATGGACTTCTTGAAACAGATGAGCAAGAAGACTGAATAGAGGAATATGGAGAAGAACAGGTGGAATACGATGGAAAACTAATTGAAGAAACTCAAGCTTTCGGTGCAGAACTGGAAAGTTTGTTACATGGTGATTTGGGCATAAACATGGTGTTTATCTTATTAGAGGAATTTAGAGCAGCAGAAGGACAAGAAAGCACCATGGAAGGGGATGTACTATCCCAAGAAAGTTTTGAATGCATAAGTAGAAGAAGTTCTAGAACAGCAAAACGGTGCCTACCAAGGAGATGGCCAATCATCTAAGACCCCTGTTTATCATTGCAAACTTTGATGGGATTCTTATCCCTAAAGTAATGGTGGATAGAGGTGCAACCATCAATCTACTACCTCACAGACTCTTGGTTAATACGGGCAGAACAGAAAAAGACCTAATCCCAACACGTCTTACAGTCACCAATTTTGTTGGGGGCATCACTAAAACCCCTGGGATACTTGATGTAGATGTCATAATAGAAACTAAAAAGCTGAAGATTGATTTCTTTGTGGTAGACACCACTTTTATCACTTACAATGCATTGCTTGGCAGGAACTGGATCCACTAAATCTTTTGTGTTCCTTCCACTGTACACCAACAGTTGGCCTTCTGGTATGAAGAGGGTTTTATGGAGATAGTAGAGGCCGATCCACTACCATTTCTACCATCTGCATTATGTTTCGAGGCTAGGTATTATCATGATGATCTTGGATCTTTTACTTTCTTTGGAGTCAATCAGAACGGTTGCCGCCATGGTGTCACGACCCAGAGGCTCATTGAATAAGGTCTGGCCAGTTCTCTAGAGGACTAGAATAGGCCTTTTGTCCTAAACCTCCGAAATCCTGATGTTTAGCTCAAACCAACAAAAGAATGATCGAGTTGCAACAATCCGATCCAATACGAATAGATTGTTGGCATATTAGGATGAAATGAGGCTATCTATGCAGAATTCAATCGTTAATATGGCAGAATTCATGCACGCAAGTGCAGAAGAACAAGAAGAAAGTCTACATGATGAGGAATTGGAGTCTGCACCAGCAGCATTGGATGACTCATTGCCGAAAGTAGAGGACCCTTTGCAGGAAATAAACTTGAGCACGGAAGATGATCCCAGGCCTACTTTTATCAGTGCTTTGCTAGAGGAACCATTGAAGGGTGAAATCGTTGCACTTCTACATGATTTCAGAGATTGTTTCGCATGACATTTCCATGAAATGCCTAGATTGGACAGAGGATTAGTAAAGCACAAATTGCCAATAAAAGAAGGATACCTACCAGTCAAGCAAGCCAGAAGATGGATGTCCATGGAGACAGAATTGAAAGTTAAAGAGGAAATAGAGAGACTAGTTAAAGCAGGCTTCATTAGACCAGCTATTTTTGTTGATTGGCTATCTAACATTGCGCTAGATCTTAAGAGAAAAACAGGAGCAGTAAGAGTCTATGTAGATTACAGGAACCTGAATAAGGCATCTCCCAAATATGAGTATCTCATGCCAATGACAGCTATGTTGGTAGACATAGTTGCTCATAACCAAATGTTATCATTCATGGGTGGCAACGCAGGATATAATCAGATAATGGTAGCAAATGAAGACATCCACAAGAGTGTTTTCATGTGTCCAGGACATATAGGCGCATTTGAATATGTTGTAATGCCTTTTGACTTGAAAAATGCAAGGGCCACCTATCAAAGGGCAATGAATTCTATTTTCCACGACATGGCAGGCCATTCCCTAGAAGTATACATAGATGATGTAGTGATTAAGTCTCCAGAAAAAGGAAATCATGTATCCAATTTGAAGAAAGCTTTTCTAAGAATGAGACAACACAAGTTGAAGATGAATCCTATGAAGTGCGTTTTCAGGGTTCAAGCTGGCAATTTCCTAGGGTTCCTGGTCCCTCAAAGAGGTATAGAAATTGACAAAAACAAAGCCAAATCTATCATAGAAGCTTTGTCACCTCGGAACAAGAAAGAATTGCAAAGTCTCTTGGGGAAGATCAACTTTTTCAGAAGGTTCATATCCAATTATGTAGGGAAAATCCAGCCTTTCTCTTCCTTGCTAAGTTTGAAACAAAAACATGTGTTTAGATGGGAAGAACAGCACCATCAGGCTTTTGAAGAAATCAAGTATTATCTTTCAAATTCGCCAGTTCTCCCTCTACCAAAAAGGGGCAGACCACTCAAACTGTATGTCTCTACATCATAAGTATCTATTGGGAGCCTTTTGGTTCAAGATAACAAGGAAGGGAAGGAAGAGGTAGTCTGCTACCTAAGTAGAACTCTGACAGAAGTATAAAGAAATTATTCTACTGTTGAAAGGCTATGTTTGGCTTTGTACTTCACTGCTATAAAACTCCGACATTACATGTTACCCTTTACCATCTACATCATTGCCAACACAAATTTGATTAAATACATGCTAACGAGGCCAATGTTGAAGGCAGAATTGGTAAATGGACCTCAAAAGGCTACCAAGGGACAGGCTGTTGCCGACTTCTTGGTAGATCATCCAAGGGAAGAGATTGAGAACGTGAACTCCATGGATATAGCCAATACAGATCGGCTGAGCAGAGCTCACATATGTCTCAATAATCCCATATACTAAGTCCATCTCACCCCTTAGAAGTTGTATTTTGATGGATCTAAAACCAACATGACTTCTGGAGCAGGAATTGTGTTAGAAGATCCATTGGGAATCTAACACTGTTATTCATTCCAGCTGGATTTCCAATGCACCAACAACAGAGTAGAGTATGAAGCTTTGATCATTGGTCTTGAGATGTTGGTAGAACTAGGAATCCAGTTTGTGGAAATATTGCGAGATTACATGCTTGTTCTAAAGTAGATTGCTAGGGAATACAAGGGTTTGAATCCTTCCTTAGCTATTTATTTGGTGGCAGCCAGAAATCTTTGGGGCAAAATTCAGGAGGCCACTTAGGAACATATTCTAAGGGAAGAAAATTTCGCAGCCAATGAAATGACTCAAATAGCAGCATGAGTGCAAATACCTGAAGATTGTGTACAGAGAATCATCAAAGTGGGGAAGAAAAGTCTACCATATGTTTTGACTAAGGGAATGGAGATAGATGTCAATTTTTCCATATAATGATTGAGGAGGATTGGAGATTGCCTACAATTAGTTATCTGCAATATCCAACCCTCCCTTCCGAGAAGAGGGAAAGAATCATGGCTCTAAACTACCTCATTGGAATGAAGAATTGGTCCGAAAAGGGAAGGATGAGTTACTCTTGAGATGCTTGGGAAAGGAAAAATACATGAAAGTCATGGGAGAAGTGCATGAAGGAATCTGTGGAGCACATCAGGGTGGAAGAAAAATGTGCTGGCTAATCAAAAGGTATGGTTATTTCTGGCCTACCATGATGAAAGACTGCATAAAGTATTCCAAAGGATGTGAAGCTTGCCAAAGATATGGACCAATCCAGCCAGTAGCAAACAACACTGTTTCATCATTGTGGCTACAGATTATTTCCCTAAATGGGTACAGGCTAAGCTAGTCAAATCCACCACATCTCAAGAGATCATCACTTTATTGAAGAGCAGATTGTGCATAGGTTTGGCATACCATAATCAATCACAACTGATAGAGGGACTTCTTTCATATCCAGAGAAATGCAAGATATGGCAAGTAGCCTTAAGATCAAGTTACTCTAGTTAGCTCCTTACCATGCTCAAGCAAATGGATAGGCAGAATCAAGCAACAAGGTGAACATTAAAATCATAAGGAAAATGCTTGAGGAGAATCCAAGGCAATGGCATGAAAAATTGTCAGAAATCTTGTGGGCCTATAGGACTTCAAAGAGAGAAGCAACTGGTATGACCTCATATGCTCTAACCTATGGACATGACGCGATTCTGCCCACAGAAATTACAGTCCAGTCCATCAGAATTGGCCAGCAGCATAACTTAGTTGATGAAGACTATTCACAAGCAATGCTGCTAGAGTTGGAGGGATTGGATATAGGCAGAATTGATACTGTCGACAAACTCTTAGTAGGAAAAGAAGTTGTGGCAAGAGCCTATAATAAAAGGGTTAAAAACAAGAGCTTTGAAGAAGGAGAAATCGTCTGGAAAGCAGTTTTGCCCCTTAGATCCCACATGGCTGGTTATTGAAAATGGTCACCCATTTGGGAAGGCCCTTTTTTAATTAAACAGGTCCTGGGATTTGAGGCATACAGGTTACAAGACCAAGATGGAGAAGCCCATGCAGCGCTAATTAATAGCAAATGGTTAAAGAGGTTCTATCCAACTATGTGGGATTCATAAGCAGTACAAATAGATCCTAGAATTGAAGAAGAAATGGATAGAACTGTTACTTAACTTTTTGAATAGTTAATGTAAATATGTTGGTTCATTTTTGTCTATTCTACCCATCTGTGATCGTTAAAACGAAAGAAATGAAAATGCAAGATTGGCATAAATAAATAGAACTTTTCATTAAAATTTTGTCATTAATAATTAAGTTTTTATTACAAAATAAGCAAAGTCTAGAGGCCTAGTTCTTAAGAGTTTCTTGTAGTCCAGCCTTCTTGATGGAGATCTTTGCAATCTCCAGTGTAGGCCTTGAAGCTGAGACCACACTTTGCACAAGGAAGGTAGATTTAGTCTTTGCACCCAATCTAGCTTCAAGATTCTTCTGCCTTTCCCTCAATGTAGCCAGTTGCTTCTGGAGGTCCTCAGTATCCTTCTCTAGTTTGTCAGCGGTAGATTTTGTCTCATTGTAATCTGTAACCAATGCATCCAATTCTGCTTTCTGTTTTTGATAATCCACCAGGTTGACTTTATGCGTGGTCTTCCAGAATTCAGAAGCACTAAAGGAAGGTTTGAAATTTTCATAACAATTTTGGAGATTAAGTACATCTTTGGCCATGCCCAAGCACTCAAGGATGGGCCAAGGAGCCATATTCTCCATATGCAGCAGTTTTAGATCCTTCATCAGTTGATCAACGACTTCTTTGTTATCATCCATGTCCAATTTAATCGACTGCTAGATCCTGATTCTGTCCATTGCCTCATCCACAGCCTTGGATTTGGCCTTGCTCGGAGTCTTTCCCAATTTCTCAAGTTTCAACAATTGAGCCCCCAAGTCCATAGCCTCGAACTTTGCCGAATATGGATCAGCAAAGGAGGTCGTGGTTGATGAGCCTGGACAGAATGAAAAGGCATCTACAAAAAGTTCCAATTAGTTTTGTGTCAAACTAAAATCAAGAAGGAAATTCTAAAGCCTAGTAATACTTATAGCCACTATCATAGGCTTGAAAGGACTGCTCACAATAGCCAGCTCTTCACTAGTTATGTCCTTGTCAACCTAGAAAGGTAGAAACATTGGTTAAAATGAACTTCACAAGACCAAACAGGATCTAGAGAAGAAAGAAGGAACTACCTCAGCTGATGGAATAGCAGAGGACTTCTCTGCCTCTACATCATCAATTAGGGCCAATTATGATCCTGTGAGCTTTTCCCTTTGGGCCTCTTTTGTTTCTTGGCTAGCTCAATACTTTCTGCTATCACTTCAGTAGGAATCTCCTCATATAAAGGGACAGAGTTCTTGTCAGAAGGAATAAAACATGAAATATACCAATTATGTTCTAAATGGCTGAGGAGAATCTCACCTCTTCTTCCACTCCTTTGGTTTTCTCTTTATCTTCCTTCGAGACTTCTTTTCCTTCTCCACAACATTGAAGTCCTCTCGCAACTCCTCATCAATCTCTGTAGTTGTTGTAGGGGCGGCAACAGGTTCTTCCACTGCTCTAGACTCACCTACAGCCTCTTTTCATCTTGGTAGGAGGAGGGGGAGGGCTTTCAACTGCAAGAACATAGATGGCAAGGTCAAAATTTAGCTTAAAACTGACCAGAAAAGAACGAAAAGAGTTTATTCTGAAGGATTTACCTAGAGGGTCAGGCTGGACATCACTATCTTGGGCCTGAGTGGTCTCTTTTCTCTTGTTCTTTCTGGCAGAAGGAGTTGGCTCAGAGTCCTTCTTCTCAGCCAGAGTTTCATGTTTAGCTTCCTCCTCTCCAAAAAACACCTCTAAGTCTCAAGCAGCAATAACGGAGGTAACTCCAAAGGAAAATGTGTTAGAAAACTTAGTCCAATCAGGATTAAACACAAAGATAGGGTTCAGAACTCACCAATCACTTTCACAGTCTAGACAGCTTGCCTACCAAGGTTGCTTGCCATGGAAGGATCTGAAACAACATAGACATAACAAAATGAGACCATCTCCCAGAATGCAAGAACCCAAGACAAAAGGGGCAGAACTGATAGCTTACCTTCAATCACTTGGGCGTTTATACCCTTAAGCATCTGCCCCATGAATTTCTTGGCATCTGGTTCTGCCTAGACAATCCCAGCATCCGAATTGGCAAAAAGACCCTTCGTGGCAATGCTTGAGTCAGAAAAACTAGCAAATCTAGCCTTCCACCAAGGGTCAAATTCCCCAGAACTGTAGGAATTAGGCTCCCAGGAAGGATAAAGAGCATCCACGATGTTGTTGATCTTGTTCACTGTGCACCTGCAATCCTTGTGCACATCCAAATCATCTGCATCTTTCAAAGAAGTTCCCTTATTACAACTCCTGTAAGATTCCAGTGGGATAAGTATGACTCGATCTTCAAGCATAACTATGTCTGGAAACCTCAGTTCTAGAAAGTACACTTGCAGCCAGATCTGAATCATCCATAATGCACCTGGAGCTGAGATGTTTAGGAGGTTGTCCAGAGTAGTGCTGTGGAGATTCTTGTATAGATGCGCCCAGAACTGTGGGACCAAGCCCCACATTAGTATAGTTGTGAAGAGCTTCTGCCATGTGCCCATACTCAAGTAGAACTGTGGAAGAGCTATTCGGAAAGACAAACCTGTTTCGCTAGTACAGGAGGACGCTTGCTGTGAATCTCTATCGCATGTTGATCAACACCTGCTCTAGAAATATAGGGAGGAGGAAATGTGGAGGAAGAACTTTTGGGGCGAGTTTTTGGAGAATACATTCTCAATTTCAAGCTAAATCAGAGAAGAATTAAAGGATGGTCGAAAAGGACAGAGGTTTCTAGGAATATTGAAAGCGGAAGGGAGTTGGGTTTTCTGAATGAACAGTAATGGAATTTTTGAAAGCTCTTATAAAGATTCAGAAAGAAGATCGTGGAAGAAGAAGGGTTGCTCAGATTAAAGTAGCTGTTAAATCACCCACTTCCCCACGAAGTCTAAATGAGTAGTAGACGTGGACTAGAGCAACGGAAGGAACTGGCCAATCATTAAGTCTGAAGCCGTTTTAAAACGATACAAACGTCGGGAGCATTGTTTGAGCCCAAATTCCATGCGCTAGCCCAATTGACATTAGTCCATGTCATAAAGCAGAAGTTTGGGCCTAGTTTAAAAGTCAGAAATCAGCCCAAAATGGTTTTTAGAGGCCCAAACCATTGTAAAATCAATTAGCAAGGATTAAATTCACAAATTAAAGATTAATTGCCATTAAATGGTGATTTAATCTGAACAAATCAAGTTTCTAATTGATTTCAAGATCAGGCCCAGCTTCTAAACTCTTCAAAAGCCTAAATTTTATTATCATCGCCGTTGATCTCAATTCCAGAGTTCTAAATCAGCTGATATTTTTGAAAGATCTTTTCTCTCAAAAGAAAGACCATGTGACTTTGAAAAAGTCAAAATTTTCGACTGGGCAGAGGATGTGATGGGGAGCTGGTAAAAGGGTTAATTGGAAAACCACTTCCCCATAACCATTTAATGCTAGAAAAGGAAGAGCAGGTTTCCTTCCTATACTCATTGGGGCGCTGCATCAAACAAGTTGAGTTTATAAAAAATAAACAGGAGACAAGTAAGCTTTTTGTCGGAAAAGCAAATGGAACATCATAGAAACTAACTATTGATAAGTCTGTTGTTTTTGTCAAAATAATACCTCCCCCTTTTCTTGCATTACGAAAAGAAAATCCTTTCAAAAGATCTCCCCTCCAGATATTAAAGATTAAACACACATTCAAATTCTCTATAAATATAAGAGGAGGTGAACAGAGTTGGAGGCAGCCAAAAAATTCAATTAATACAAAAACTCTCAAAGTCATACTAACAAATTCAAAACAAGATCAATCGATCTCAAAAGTCTTCAGACTCTGAAGCAACCAACCTCTTTGATTGACAAAAGACAAATCAGCCAGAACTCAGGCTTCTGACTTCAGTTCAATGTAAAGAAACAGTTTACAAAGGAAACGAGATTTATCTCGTTACAAATTTGGTTCAACATAAGCCAAATCAAGTAGAATTCGGGTTTGTCATAATATGAAAACCTTAACAAATTCACAGAAATGCCTCGATCTCTTAGGATTGCCAGAATAGCTTTTGGATTCATAATCAAGTAGAACAGGTACTGTGGTGCAGCTCCAGGCTAGCAATCATCAATCCAGCCTCGTCCATACTAAAGAAATCTCAATTTTGCCCATCTAGCAAGCCTCTCCATGACTAGGATAGATTAAAGCTCTCCCAATCTCAACATTTGTATCGATTTCTAGCTGAGCCTCATTAGTTGTAGGTGCTACGTTTGAATCCAGCATAGATACACCCAGTCTGGCCTAAGTTACAGGCAACAATTCAAGTAGAAATCGATGCCCAGTGTTTTGTTGTCCCTTCAGACATGGCAGTCCCCTTTTGTCTTGAAAGTTGTGTAATAGGCAGTTTTTCTTAAAATAATTTGATTTGTTTTTCAATATTCATTTTGGCCAGAACTACCAGTTAACTGTGATAAATTGTGAAATCCTCACCAATCTGAGGCAAGAAAAGAACTTACTTGAGATATATTCCTCATCCAAATTCACAATTACTTGTTTAAAGTCAGTAACTTGGGGCGCAAGTTATCTATTTTTCATAAGTCTGTTAGGGTTTTTAAAACTGCTAGCAATGGCACGCTCACACACCAATAAAAAGTTGACTTGTTGACCACCAATGGTTTTCAAGCCAATGGAGAACTTTACCCTACCATCACAGGACTAGATCTAAACGGGTGAACAATATAATTGCGAGTAACACAACAGGTGAGTTCACCGAAGGAGGAGGGGGGGGTAGGGTGTCTTGATAAGTTTTGGAGAGAGAGAGAGAGAGAGGAGCTAGGTTTTGGGGTGGGGGTGAGGTTGGTGATTGCTTGAGATGGGAATGGCGTCAGGATTAATGTGTGAGCTTGGGTTATTTTTGTTTTTTGTTTTATTTAACTTTTCTTCATTTTAGTTATCAAAACCTTAATATAAGAGGGTAGAAAAGAAAGAACAAAAAAGAATAAGATTGATAAAATAAAATAAAAAGTATTAAAAAGCCAAAAAAAATGTAAATGGGAGTGAGGAAATCACCTCCCTATATATATGGTTTAGGGCCAGTCAGAGAAGACAACAGACATCTAATAATTGATACCCTCACCATTTGGGCCAGGCAGAGACGTAAAAGTTTCAGATAACGAAATAGTGCTTCATGTAATGGATCGATCTTATCTGGGTCGTGGTAGATTTCCTGACGTCTCTTGTTTTGTCGGTTCGAATAAAATTTTCAAAATTTGGAAAAAGCAAAAACATCGGGGGCTACATCTGTTGCATTGTGCAGATTGTTATTATATAGAAAAAGAAAAGAAGCATTTTTGGCACATCTCCCAATTTGAAGGTGATGAACGTGGGGTCTCACTGATTCAGCAGAGAGAGAGGAGCTGAAAAAGGGAAGTATGGCTATAGCTACCCCATGGACAGATAAAAACGACGACGACGTTGTCAGTGGAGAAAGGGATCGTACGATTTTGGGGTGCCAACTTGCCATGGGCAGAAAGGGACTCTCGTGAAGAAGACGCAGACTGCAAGCAAGCACGCAAAAGCATAGCCCAGCTCCCACTAACTCAACCCATTCTTTCTCTCTATCTCTACCTCTACACAAATACTTTGAATGAAAAAAAGAGTGAAATTTCATTCAATAATTGCCAACATATTATTCTTTTTCTCGGGTACACAGGATGCAAAAGGCAGCGGGGTATAGAGAGCTACAGAATCTAACATTGAATGCCAAGGGCTGCTGGTAACGAGTTTTTATATTTATTTATTTATTCTTTCTTTCAAACGTAATTGAGATTACAATTGTATACAAATTAAAATATTATTTCTGGTATTAGAAATATTTTAATTAATGATTTACAAAGGAGAGAATCCCTAGCTACTACATTATACAATCAGCAGAATAATCGAATTCTCTTGTCATCTTTGGTGCCTATGATTGTAGTTTAAAGTTAGAAATGTATACCAACTACCAAATTTTGTAAAAGTTGAAGGGATTAGATGAATTAAGTATAAACTGTTGATAACCTACAATTTGTAGAGATTGGAAGGGATAAGTTTTCCTTCATGGATTCTTCTTCTACCTTCAACTTTGAAAGTCAAACTCCAGTTTTTACTTCAGCATTCTTTAAATATAGTGAGTTATCTAATCCTACACACCATATGTAGCCTAATTAATGCATTGAATTTGTATGCATCGTCAGTTGGTGGAGAAACACTTACATAAAACGGGGATAACACTATTTTGCTATCTCTAGCCAGCCACGGTATATCACACGTGATAATTTTTCCACGTAACATTATATGATTAGCACAAAATAGCAAAACAATATTATTGCCGTTTCATACAAGTTTTTCTACAATCGGTGAGTACAAGAAAATTCTGCTATTGATTGAGGAGCTTTGAATTTCTCAACAACTAATGAATGCATTGGCTTGTATGCATCGTCATCTCCCAAGGATTGAAAATAAGTGGGCCTGTGAATATGAACATAAGTTGGAGCATTCAGTAATATTATCTATTCCAAATGTATTGTATCGAGAACATTGAATTAACTGACATAGATTGTTCCATTGTTGTATATATTGAATGTCTATGTGAGCACACAACACACTAGAGTTGGTTTTTCTTGCTCTGACTCTCACTAGAAGCACATGGTCAATTCCCACTTATGTGCTCAAATAGTTTTCTTTTTACATATTTTTTGAAAGTAATAAAAATTTCTCAATAAAATGACCCTGAATTTAAATGAGATAAAATTTGTTAGGCATAAAACTTACAGATATTAATGTGTGAGTCTCACTTAAGAATTTAAATGAGTTGGAAGTAACGAATGATTAGTCAACGCATTGACTTGACATATCCTAATATATGCAATGCAAGATTTTACCCTTGAGCCAATTTGCGTTTAGCCACACTTTATCTTAGTCATAGTAGCTCTCTTCAACCAAGTCTATCCTACACTAATTAATCTTGCTTTGTGATTTACAATAGCAAATACGATGTTGTCTAAGGAAGTCATAGATACCGTACCAAATAAAATGGACCATACCCAAAAATCAACAAAGATTAAATAAACAATCCCATGGTTAAATGTACATTCGGACTATAATTCGTTTTACAACAATATTACGTGACATTGGTCTTTGACAACATGTTGTGCAACAAGGCTTTCCCTAGCGAGAAATTATTGTGTGGTAACTAGAGTACGGCTACATGGTAAAACTTGTGCACGTGCTATAATATGTGGGTGGAGAATGGTTGATATTTCCCCCTTTTATGGAATAATATCACTAAATCTACTTATATTATAACAAGTGGACAGGTTATATCAAGTAACCGTACTCCAGTACTAGTATATAATTACTTATCCCTAGCATCACTCAAAAATATCTCATGCCTTGTTTTCGTCACGAAAATCTGAACCAATAGTTTTAACATTCAAGAAACTACTTACTTAATTTTCAATAAATGCATGCACTGAGTTGGGTTAAGAGCAGTTAGCGGTGCACTTGAGATCTTGTATTTGAATCTCTCCTTCTCCAATATCATTTGTATAAAAAATAAAAAAAAACATATATGGTAATAAATTCAGGCATATGTGTATAAACTAGAATATTATTTATTTGAGTACCATAAAATAGAAAATGTTATTACAGAATATTACAATGAAAAAGAATTCAACAGAAATAAATGTTTAAAAAGGGATGCAAAAGACGTCTACTGGGAAGACATAGACCCTCTGAACCTTAGTTCTCTCTCTATTTTTATTTTGAAAAATTCCAAAGATGAAAAGAGAAGTCACTGTTACTCAGCAGGCCTTCGTCAGCATAATTTACACCAGTTCCTGTGTTTTGGGCTATATTTTCAACCCAAAAGTTTGTGAAGAAATCTTCCTCCAACTGAAAACCAGAACACATTGCTCTTTCAACACTGTTCGTATCAGCTAACTGGCTTTTCCACTCATCAATTCCATTTTCTATAGGCGGTGATGATGGCAATGGCCAGCTAAAATTCTCTTGTAATTGAATATGCTGTAAAGTTGGAGCTGGGCTGCTCAAACAATTTGGCTTTTTGGAGAAGGTTCGTGGTTGAGGCCTTAATATTACTGTCTTTGTTGTTTCTGGGGTTTTATCTTTTTCGGCCCCAGAAGACTTATTTTTCCTTAGTCGGGTACTCCAGTAGTTTTTCACATGGTTTGATGTTCTTCCAGGAAGTCTTCCAGCAATCAGCGACCACCTAAATGATGTGCATGCAGAAAGAAAAAGGATTTGTTAGAAATTATATTATTTAGAAATTTTTAATACAGCTTATTAGAACAAGTGATTTAATGGAAAGAACAAAAAGTGATAAAACGAAAGGGATTAGATTGCCTCAAAATTACTTTGGTATAAGTGTACATAGTAGTAGAGGCACAAAGTATTTAGATCCAAAATCATGTGGCATTGCACTGTTTTGTTTGTTTATGTCTAAGGGCTCGTTTGAGACTGCTTCACTAGGAAGCACTTATACTCATATGCACTTCTATTATAAAGAGGTTGAAATTTTCACAAGAAATCCAAGTGTTTTCGGAAGAAACACGTAACAGTTGCTTCTCTAAAAAGTGCTTCTATAATATAGAAGCACGAATATATATATATGTAAAGAACAAAATATATAATATATTAAGTCAGATTGAAATGATTACTCAATTGAATAAATAACTTAATTTGTCGTATTACTTTTGAACTCTTTTCCTTCTGGCTGTGGTATTCTTTTTTCTTTCTTATTTCCATTTCGATATTACTATTCAAGATTTATATGGTTGGGGTATGTATTAATTTGGCCAAGTACTTAGTTTTAGCTGCAAAAAGCACAAACAAGTCGAACAAAAAGAACAGAAAGTCCTTCATTCCTAGCAAGTTAGCTACGAAAGAGAAGTTCAGATTGTACTTGCCTGTTCCCTAAAAGCTTTCGAAGCCTAACCATTAGATCCACTTCATCTTCTGTAAAGTCTCCTGTTCTGATATTTGGCCTCAAGTAGTTCAACCATCTCAGTCTACAGCTTTTCCTGCATCTGTACAAGCCTGCATACATAATTCATAAAACTTACACATATAAAATCTTCCTACATTCTCCATAATAAAGAACAATTTAGGGCCCTTTTGAAGGAAATAAGAGTGAGAATGGGAGTCAAGATGAGATTGAGATAGAGGATGAGAGGGGAGGATGAGAAGGAGGAGTTACAAAAGTGAAAACAATGTCAAATAGATTGCAGCTTTTAGTTTTTGTTTTTACTTTTGTTACTCATCTATCCCATCCTCCACTCTCATGTTCCCTCTCAATCCCATCTCCACTCTCATTCTCACTTTCATTCTCCCTCTTTTTCCTCTGTACTCTAGCACAAAAAATGAAAAATAAAAACTAAAAACTAAAATTTAAAGAGTTATCAAACGAGCCTTTAGTTTCTTTCTTGAGCAAGTCCAGTTATAAGTATAGATATAAATTTAACTAAGAAAATTACTTGCCTCCTTACTCTGACTCACTCCTATGATCAAATAAATAAATTACATTACAAACACGTCCTGCGTACAGATAAAGACCAAGCAAGCAGTGTTTTCAACTAATAATAATAATACCTGCTTTGAGAGAAACCTGATGCCATTTGCCTTCACCGTGCTGTTGAATGTATTGCCTGAGAAGTTCATCTTCCTCTCTAGTCCATGCACCTTTTCTCACTCTCAGTAAATTATTACCCTCCATTTTGTGGGGATGTGTCGTACACACTTCTCGAAGCCGTGTATCTATATATAAATATTCTTCCGTGCATCTCTCCTCTCCATATAAAGGGAAGACAGAAGGTAACATTTCTCCTTTTTCTTTTTCTTTCTTTCTCACATGTAATTGTTAGTTTTTTTAGAGATATTTAGTCATATACCCCATTTTAGCACTAATAATATAGATAAACTCTACACTACTAAATTTCTATAAACAAACCTAAAAAATGATAGCTGCCCCTATGAATTGAATTTGATTATTAAATTACTTTGATACCCTATTGAGTGTTTTGAAATTTTTTTATAAGGTTTTGGGGGTTGGGTTTGTTTTAAAAAATCCATGATAGTTTTGTAATTTAAAAGAAGTTAAAAGCCTTTTTGTTATGTTGTAAATGAGTTTTTTTCTTTTTTTTTTTTTTTTTTTATTATTTATAATTTGGACTCCTATATTGGGTATAATAGTGAATCTCCTTTTTTTTTATAGGCTTTTAAAATATCCCTAAAGTTTACAAAATTATCAAATTACATCAGTTTTTTTAAAATTAAAAAGAAAAAAATCATTCGTAGTCCTTAAGGTTAATAGGTGCACTCAGAAAGAGTTCATGCTGTTAAGTTCTGTCCAAAAATATGTTAAATTGATGATGTGACACACATATGAGTCTCACATACCAATAATATGATGTCATGTGAATTAAATAAAAAAATATTTTTTAAAATAATTTGAAAATTATAAACCATTAAAAAATTTAAAACAAAACAAAACAAAATTTAAACCCCTGCCATTGAGACCTTAGGTAACTCACCAGCTCAAGGTAGCAGTTTCCCAACTGTACCACCTTATATTTAAGACACAAATGCTTTGAAAAAAAGTGTGAAATTTCATTTAATAATTGTTCTATTTGAAGTTAATTCCTCGTGTGTTTAAATACCAAATCATAATTAAGTTAACTTTCCGTGTTCAAGACTTCCCCACATATTATTCTTTTTCCCCGGTACAAAGGATGCAAAAGGCAGCGGGGTATAGAGAACTACATTGAATGCCAAAGGCTGCTGGTAACGAGTTCTTTTTTCTTTCTTTTTTATATTCTTTCTTTCAAACGTAATTGAGATTCAACAAAATTGCATACAAATTAAAATATAATTTCTGGTATTAGAAATATTTTAATTAATGATTTACAAAGGATAATTCTTAGTTACTACATTATACAATCAGTAGAATAATCGAATTCGTTTGCCACCTTTGTGTCTATGATTGGATTGGATAGTTCACTCAGGTATTTTAAAGTTAGAAATGAATACCAACTACCACATTTTGTAAAAGTTGAAGGGATTAGATGAATTAATTATAAAGTGTTGATAACCTACTATTTGCAGAGATTGGAAGGGAAAAGTTTTCCTTCATGAATTCTTCTTATCTTCAACTTTGAATGTCGAATTCCAGTTTTTACTTCAGCATTCTTTAAATCTAGTGAGTTACCTAATCCTACGTACCATATGTAGCCTAATTAATGCATTGAATTTGTATGCATCGTCAGTTGATGGAGAAACACTTATATAAAACGGAGATAACACTAGTTTGCTATCCTTGGCTAGTCACAGTATACCACACGTGATAACTTTTCTACGTGACATTATATAATTGACAAATGATAGCAAAACAGTATTATCCTCGTTTCATACAAATTTTTCTACAGTCGATGAGTACCAGATAATTTCTGCTATTGATTGAGGAGCTTTGAATTTCTCAACAACTAATGAATGCATTGGTTTGTATGCATCGTCATCTCCCAAGGATTGAAAATAAGTGGGCCTGTGAATATGAAAATAAGTTGGAGCATTCAGTAGTATTATCTATTCCGATTATATTTCATCGAGAACATTTAATTAACTGACATAGAGATTGTTCCATTGTTGTGGTGGCTATCGGCCCATAGGTTCAATGGAGTACGAAAAGAAAAGGATCGGCCTTGATACGGTGAAATTGATGCAAACCGCACCGGGATTTAGAGCACCCAATTTTTTTTTGCACACGTATATATTATATGTATATGTGAGCACACAGCACACTAGAGTTGGTTTGTCTTGCTCTGACTCTCACTAGAAGTACATGGTCAATTCCCACTTATATGCTCAAATAGTTTTCTTTTTACATATTTTTTTTAAATAATTAAAATTTCTCTATAAAATGACCCTGAATTTAAATGAGATAAAATTTGTTAGGACAGAAAACCTACAATTGTTAATGTGTGAGTCTCACATAAGAATTTCAATGAGTTGGGAGTAACGGATGACTAGTCAACACAACTTGACATATATCCTAATATATGCAATGCAAGATTTTACCTTTGAGCTGATTTGCATTTAGCCACACTTTATCTTAGTCATAACAGCTCTGTTCAACCAAGTCTATCCTAGACTAATTAATCTTGATTTACATTAGCAAATACAATATTGTCTATAAGGAAGCTAGAAATCAAAATAGCTAAAGCTTACCTTACAATTAGTAAACGTTGGGATTGCAAAATAGACACGGTACCAAATAAAATGGACCATACCCAAATATCAACAAAGATTAAATAAACAATCCCAAGGTTAAATGTACATTCGGACTATAATTTCTTTCACAACAATATTACGTGACATTGGTCTTTGATGACATGTTGTGCAACAAGCTCTTCTTAACGAGAAATTATTGTGTGGTAATTGGAGTACGGCTACATGGTAAAACTTGTACACATGCTATAATATGGGTGGAGGAGGGTCGATATTTCCCCCTTTTATGGAATAATATCACTAAATCTACTTATATCATAACACGTGGACAAGTTATATCGTGTAACTGTACTCTAGTAGTAGTATATAATTACTTATCCCTAGCGTCATTCAAAAATATCTCATGCCATTGTTTTCGTTACGAAAATATGAATCAATGGTTTTAACATTCAAGAAAGGCTATTTACTGTAGTGCCTCCAGAAACTTTGGTCAAATCTCACTTTATCACCCTAAACCCCCTTAACCGTGATTTCGTGTTCCACTTTACCCCCCACCATTATCTCCACTAGTAACTCTGTCAGTTTTAATGACATGGCATGGCTATTTTAGTCTTTTTATCACAAGTGATGATGTGTCATGTGAATGTCCCACTTTTTTTGTTTGAATTGAATTAAATATAAAATAAAATAAGTAATTACTTATTAATTAAAAAATTATTTTATAGAGAAATTAATAAACAAAAATCTTTCTTCTCTATGCTTTAAAAAAAAAAATAAAAACCCCTGTGAAGATCCAACTCTCTCCAAAGATTAATCCCTATTCCCAAAGAATGGCCTCATCCTTCCTCCTTTCTCCTCTCTCTCCAACCAACCACCGCACCATCATCCATAACCACCCACACCCCCCCACATGCCATACAATTCGGTAGGCTACAAATTGAAAAGAGCTAAAGTCAACACTGTTATGAGTTCAGGGAATTCTAATTTTCCTCCAGTTAGTGCTATAATCACAAGTAGCATTGCTACAATTGTTGTTCCTTGTGGCTCTGTCGAGAACATGCCAAAAGGAAACTAGAAAGTTGCTTTGATAAATTTGTTAGCCCTCTTGTTGTTAGCTTGTAGCTCGTCTATCCTGAAAAGGATGAGTAATATACAACCTCTTCTCTGTTGAATTATGAAATTTGTACTTAGGTGACGATGGGTAAATTTTACAACACTTAAACAAAACGCAACAATCTTCACACACTTTAGACCTTGACCAAAAACACTTATGACTAGTCAACTGCTCGTCATGAACAGCCACAATCAAGAATACACACAGAGCATGCCACAATGTACCTGCAACCCTAGAAGATTACTGGTGACAACCTACGCACTCAAAAGGACCCATCAATCTAGGCATCCCCTGTAGCTCATCCCCGACAATGGCGCCAAAAACTTGTTGTGAATTTTAGACAACCTAAAAAATGGAGATTATAAAGATTAGTCTAAACACAAATTATACTCGCAAGTGCACAAGGTCAATCGTAATATAGTATGACAGATACGAGGTCATTCCTACGAGGATTGATTTCAACTACCAATTAGTCTAACCTAATTTACTTCACAAAATAGTTTAACTACTCTAATTATATAGACAAGAAATTAAACACGTAGCATACTCACGTAAACACGAAAGGGGTTTTTGAAAGAATGATTTAATTAACAACGAAATTAAAAGACAAAATAAGTAGAAAGTCACGAAACACAAGATGAGAAATTCAAATTGATAAAAGCACTAGGACAATGAATTCACCACTAGTAATCCGATCTAGCCTCTTATTCACCTACCTATTAACTAACCATTTGATGTTGCCGCTTAGTTTTCCTTTTTCATGAATTACCTATGGTATTTAGGCTAACTCGTATATTCCTCCATGCAATTCACCTATGGTATTTAGGTCAAATATCAACACATAGAAATTCATTAAGATCAATGAAAACCTCAAACAAGCATGTAAACCCTAGGAGTATGGTATTTACCCTAGACGAATTACAAATCCTAATCACAAGAAGCAAGCCTCAAATTAAGTCTGGTATTTACTCTAATTTGCATCCGATTAACTCAATGAAAAGTCTAGATGGTGATCAAGCATCAAGATAATCAACCAAGTTATTAAGCACAATGATTAAGAATCCAACATCAAACGGCAATCAATAGATAGGTAAAATAAGAAAACTATATTATCATACTAGGGCTACATCATGCCCTAGCAAAAGAAAATTAGTTACACATAATCATAGAATTCGGCATAAGAAAAAACATAAGGAAGAAACAATAAAACTTAGCCAATTGCGGTACTCTTCCGATGCCTCCAATTTCTTCTAGTCTTTGCGTGTCTTCAAGGGAGTTGTTTCTCATGCTTAAATAAAAGACCACACATCTATTCCTACCCTAGCTGGGCTTTTACAGCAGCCCAAGAATAAAGAAAAACCTAATTAAAACATAAATCCAAAATGGGTAAGTAATTGATATCCTCTTCCTACTTGGAATGGGATAACACATCAGTTACTTTGCACGCACGTTTGGGTCGTTTCTCCTCCAAGAAAATTCGGGAAAAATATGTAAATTGTAGGTTTTGGTCTTATCTTTCCAGCCATATATCGCACACCTTGAGGAAAAATCAGGAAAGTCTTCAAATAGTCATTCTTCCACAACAGCACAGTTTTGATGGGATTGCACCTTATACTGACTTAACTTCAAAGACTGCTCTCATTGGCTGCTCCGAAAATTCTAGAAAAATTCCACAATCATCTTCAAGGTCTTAGCTTTCATCTCCAATTGGTCTCGTACTAAAACTCCACCAAAAAGTCGTATTGCCGTTGAAAACAAATTACTTGCTCTGGTAAGCTGAAAATTGAGAAAATAAAGTAATAAGTCCTTTTTAAATCAAATTCTCCTACAAAAACTAAGTACAAAGAGTACATAAATGTGTAAATTTATAGACTTATCAATCATCATAATCAAGTCAACACCAAATAACAGATAATGATGACTAGTAAACTACAAGGACACAAACCTAGAATTCATACGATATGACTAGTCAACCACCAAGAACACAAACCCAGAATTCATACGATGACTAGTCAACCACCAAGAACACAAACCCAGAAAAATTACAAAGATGCAATCAGAAATTGTTCACCCAAAAACCCACCATTGGAAAAAACTGGGGGTCATCAACCGACCAACCAATCCACTAAGTAGAAAATGATTCTTACAAAGGAACACAAGCAAGCTCAAGAAAAACCTAGATCTATTTAGGAAGATGAGCTATACCTCATTTGTGCAATCTTCTTCTCCAACTTAGCAAAGCTTGAAGCTCAGTTCTTCATGGTAATGACTGCTCATTCTCAAGCTCATTCATCCCACGGCACCAGCTTGCAAGCTCTAACTTAGACAAAAACCAAAATTTGGATTCAAAGGAGAATGACCAATTTCTTCAAGAAACCATACTCTTGAATCTGACCTAGATATATATGAGAGAGTGTTTCATCTAGCAAGATGAGGTTTTCATATTTCAAATGCAGTTTTCAAAAAGAAACATTTTGGAAAACTCAAAGATGAAAAATATGAAGGTTACACTTGAGGAAGAAGAGAAAGTTTACAGAGAAATGATAGGATTAAAAGCACACCACAAAGTAGCACACAAATATTCTATTGATTTTCCTTATTAACACTAAGATTTGTCAATTGTAGCATATGGAAATAAGGGTCTTTCCCGCAGAAGATTGTCTTATCTAACCACTTGAATTGTCACGAAAACTGGGCTGCTGTCCCTACTGACCAGCCACCAAAAAAAAAAAATTATTATCCCTACTTACACTTATCTAAAGTCTACGAAATTTTATGCACAGATACTAGACATGCAGAGCTACACTCACACAAATTTTTGGGATTTTTAGAGTTGATTTGCTATATAAATTAAATCCGACAACAACAGGACAGAAACGGATTTTGAATTATAAGAACAGATTATATTTCACAATTAAGAAAATGAGTTAGGGGAAGTGCTATCCACCACCAAATAGTCATGCAAACATGTTATGTTTCAATCAGATTCCTTTTATTTCCGGATGAAGATGCTCGAGTTAGTTCAATGTTAGAACTCAACCTATTACTCTTTCTTATGTAGTATGTTAAGAGAATGACGTTTTCAACTTAACTTAGTCCCTAGCATGCAATCTAGAATGGCGTGTTCATAGATTTAACAAGTAGAAATCATTAAGAACGAAAAGAGTTTGAATCATCACAAGGCATCGTAAGTACTGGCGTTGTCTTACTTATCCTAGAAATTGATTCACATGTTAATCGCAACTAACAAGTACTACTCTAGAACATATGTAGGTCCTCATTCAACAAGGGCAGGCAAACACATATTCATAGCATTAGAATCCTAAATATGCTTACTAAGTATGCATCTGTAGAAAACACATAAAGAATTCATCAACGAGACAAGTAGTGAAGCAATTTTCATCCTTTCATGAAAGAAATTGAAACAAAACGTCATAACACATTTGCAATCATATCTGGGGCTTCAAAACAGCCCCTAACTACTAAAAATTTAGTTACACATTATTCTTAAATTAAACCAAAAGAAAGACATGAGTTTGGGAAGGTAAAACCGAAAGAAGAGAATGCCAAGATTTCCTCCTTCCTCCAACATTCCTGCCTTGCCTCTCTGTTTCTTTCTCCAAAGATCACTCTCCCCCAAAACTTCCCCCACTAATAGCTATTTATTGATGACAATAAGTGAGAGAAAATGGTAAAACAATTGTAACTCTTTGGGTGGCCTTTAAGCCAATTACTCCCACCTAATCCCCATCTTTAATTCCATTTCCTCAGATATTGAATAGGTTTCCGCTGGCTTGTTCTTGGCTGCATCCATTTTGGCTGTTAGGTTTATTGGGTTTATTGCTTTCATTGCAGTTACAAACTGCTCAGCCTCTTGTGAACCTTTCAGTGTTAAAACGGCCATTACTGCTTCTAGAAAAATGATATGAACAATCCACAAAATGCTCCAGAGAATAGACATCTGTAGCTTTCCAAGCATATATGGCACGTTCTCTAATTCATTCTGAGCTTTTCGCAACTTGCTTCCAAAGTCAGCTTATCTGCACAGGCAGTTTTGACGAATTTGTGACTTAAAATCCCACTTGTGCTATTTTTCTTTTCTTTGCTTGACAGATCCTACAAAACACAAAAACAAAGTAAATAGCTCAAAAATATAAGGAACTAACTAAGAAAAGACAAGTGAATTTGATGTAAAATATATATAAATATGAGCTTGTCAAGAAACTTTCCAAAACTTGCCTACGAAAGTGACTGCTACCAAAATGGGAATCCTTTGGCCTTTACACCCAAAAATTCCCTAGGTCAGAATCAACACATGGCAGCAGAGAGAGAAAGGAGAATAGGACAAAATAGTTGGTTATCCAGCTGGAAATCCTACAGAGCAAGGATGACTAGTCATACAAGAAACAGATGACTAGTCATCATTTTATGAAATCAATTTAATGCAATGTGATGCAATGCACAATTTACCTTTGTCAATTTGCTTGAACCTCCATAGGATAGTTGTTAGTTAAGAACACCTAGAGAAGCTATTCTTATTCTAAACTTGAGCTTGATAAAAAGAATAAAAATTCTATTACAAAATTGTCAAGGGAAGCCAAAAGAAAACCCTAAAATGCATACATTACCGAATTATAAGCCTTTAAGTTGACTTAAGAGTTAGTTAATATAGTTTTCGTTTCTTTAAGTTTATAAGCCAAGTGTGAGGATCTCACTGGATATCTAAATGAATGGCTGAGATCATCTTGTGATGTAAGGGATCCAGCTATTGTGACTAACGGTTATATTCCTTCACTCCAAGTGCGTGAGGTTGTAAGGGAGAGAGACTGAATAGAAATGTATATGCCTGTACTACACGTATAGCAGAGTAGTCTTACAATTCTTGTTGCTTCTCCTTTCTTCCTGTCTTTGTTACTCTCCATTCACACACTCAAAACACTAACATGGCCTCAGAGCCAGGTTTGATCATCTAAATCTGGGCGTTCTGGCTATGAAAGAAAAAAAAAGATAGGGGCATTTGGAAGCTTGTTCAAAGCTCACGAAGTTGCTTGATCTCGATTTCTCCTCAATCTGAAAACAACTTGTTTTTGGGAAGCATCTGAGATCAGACATGGCTGGATCTGGAAGCTTTGAGGTGAGAACTCCGATTTTCTCTGGTGAGAACCATGAGTTCTGGAAAATCAAGATGGTGATCATATTCAAATCATATGGGTTATGGAGCTTGGTGGAGAAGGGGATTCCGATTTTTTATTCAAAGAAGAAGACGAAAACATCTTAAGAAATTTCAAATGAAGAAGCCAATAAGAAGATGACTGCAATCTTCATGAAAGATGCAAAAGCTATGTGTATCATACAGAATGTAGTTTCCGAATTCCACTAATCGCAAATGCAGACGCTGCGATAATGGCGTGAGACTTGTTGTATGGAGAATACCATCGTAGAGATCATGTCATATCGGTAAAACTTCAAAACCTCATACGTGAATTTGAATATACTAGGATGTGTGATAATGAATCCTTGCCTGACTATCTTACTAGACTAAATGAGTTAAGTAACTGAATGAAACGTTTGGTGAAGTTCTTTCAAATGCTAGGCTGGTTCACAAGGTTCTAATTAGTCTTAGTAAGGTGTATGATCTCATATGTCTTGTAATTGAAAACACAAAGAATCTGGAAACTGTGGAACTACAAGAAGTAATTGCTATCTTGAAGAGTCAAGAGCAGCGGTTTGAATTGCACAGTGTTGACACGTCTGAGAAGGCTTTTGCCTCATTCATTGTGAGCTCAAAAGGTCAAAACAAGAATGCTACTCAATCTGGTTCATCCAATTCCAGAAAAAATGGAATTCTAAAGGCAAGCAGTAGGAATCAAAAGGCAAGCCTCAACAGGGCAATTCTGCACAACAGTTTAGCTCATCTCAATCAATGAGCCAAGAAATTGCAAAACCTCAATGCAAGGTGTGCTCAAAGTACCACTTTGGTGCATGTAGGTACAAAGGGAAGCCAAAGTGCTACAACTGTGACAAGTTTGGACATTTGGCTAGAGACTGCACTGTAGGCAAGACTGTGTAAAAGGCAAATTGTGCAAACCAAATGGAGGTGACTGGAAATTTGTTCTATGCAAATTGTGCCACCACTGAGACAAAAACAAATGGAGAATGGTACATTGACAGTGGCTGCAACAATCACATGATTGGCAATGTGGATCTGCTTGTTGATGTGAGGACAAATGTGGCTGGGAAAGTGCAAATGCCAACTGGTGCACTTGTGAATGTGGTTGGCATGGGTTCATTGGTAATTGATACAACTAGTGGGAGAAAATACATCAAAGAAGTGATGTATCTTCCAAGATTGAGAAAGAATTTGCTAAGTGTTGGGCAAATGGATGAGCATGGATATTTTTTGGTGTTTGGAAAAGGAATGTGCAAGGTGTTTGATAGTTCTTCAATGAATTGTCTCATCATCAAGGTTCCAATGAAGAAGAACAGGTGTTGTCCTTTATCTTTTCTAGCTGAGAATCAACTGCTTATGAAGGCTAGTAGTACTCATTGCACATGGACTTGACATAAAAGACTAAGACATCTGCATTTTAGAGGACTGAAACAATTGAAAGACAAACACAAGATGCATGGATTGCCACAATTAGAAGAGAAAAGTGGTGTGTGTGAGGGTTGTCAAATTGGAAAAACACACAGAAATAGTTTTCTAAAAGGTCAAGCTCTGAGAGCAAGTGTTCCCCTTGAGTTAATTCATGTTGATCTTTTTGGCCCTATGAGAAATGAGTATATTGCAGGAAACAAGTATTTCATGTTGCTCATTAATGACTACACAAGAATGATATGGGTGTATTTCTTGAGAAACAAGTTCGAGGCTTTCAATTGTTTCAGAAAATTTAAGTCCATGACTGAACTTCAATCTGGACACAAAGTGAAGAGTTTGAGGAGTGACAAAGGAGGAGAATTTCTATCTTCTGAGTTTATACAGTTTTGTGAAGATCATGGCATTCAAAGGCAACTCATAATGGCCTATACCCCTCAACAAAATGGGGTGGTAGAGAGGAAGAATAAGACTGTGGTTGAAATGGCCAAGTCCATGCTACATGAGAAGGGAATACCTTATTTCCTATGGGCAAAAAATGTTCACACAGCTGTATACATTCTAAATAGATGTCCTACCAAGGCTTTGAACAATATCACACCCATTGAAGCTTACAATGGAAGAAAGCCTGGTATTGCACATTTGAAAATTTTTGGTTCCTTGTGTTATGTTCATGTGCCAACTGAACTAAGGCATAAACTTGAACCTAAAGTGTAAAGGGGGTGTTTGTGGGATATGCAACTTGTGAGAAAGGATATAGGATCTTTGATCCAATCTCCAAGAAACTCACACTATCAAGAGATGTCACCTTTGATGAAGAAGGCTCTTAGCACTGGACAAAAGACATTGGTAAAGTTGTGACACCATTTACAGAAGGAAGTCAATGTAACATTGGTTTTAATGTGGAAAATGAAGATGTGAATGATGCACTAACACCTCATACTCAAATTCGACATGAAAGGAGTCCATTACCTCTTCAAGCATCATCACAACACATCTTTAAGTGGCATAAGCAGTGAAGAGAGGAATACTCAAGCTTATGACCACTCACCCTTGAAATGGAAAAGGTTAGATGATGTTCTTGCACAGTGTAATCTATAGAGGCAGCTCAAGACAAATCATGGCTAAAAGCTATGAAAGATGAACTACAAATGATTTTAAAAAATGGTACGTGGGAACTAATGGACAGAACAACTGAGAAACTAGTTATTGGAGTCAATTGGATTTACAAAACAAAGGTAAACTTAGATGGTTAAGTCCAAAAGAATAAAGCAAGGTTAGTTGTCAAAGGGTATGCTCAGAAACCTGGATTGGAATACAATGAAACCTATGCTCATGTGGCTAGATTGGACACCATGAGAACTCTCATTGCTCTAGCTGCTCAGTAAGAATGGAAGCTATATCAGCTTGATGTAAAATCAGCTTTCCTAAATGGTGTACTGCAAGAAGAAGTCTATATAGACCAATCAAAGGGTTTTGTGGTCAAAGGCAAAGAAGCTAAGGTGTATAGGCTACACAAGGCTCTCTATGGACTACAACAGGCACCTAGAGCCTGGTATGGAGAGATAGACACCTACTTCACTCAGTGTGGTTTTGAGAAGAGTCTAAGTGAAGCTACCTTGTATACCAAGACAAGGGGAGACAAAGACATTCTAATTGTTTCTATTTATGTTGGTGACATTGTGTATACAGGAAGTAGCAAGGAATTGTTGGATGAATTCAAGGAAAACATGATGATGAAATATGAGATGACAGACTTGGGTCATCTACATCATTTTCTTGGTATAGGAGTGGTTCAAACAAGGTCTAGCATATTCATCCACAAAAAGAAATGTGCAAGCTCTCTATTGAACAAGTTTGGTTTGAATGAGTGCAAGACTGTGACCATACCTCCTGTAGCAACTGAGAAGCTAACTAAAGATGATGGAAGTGGAGCAACAAGTGAGGAGCAATATAGAAGCATTGTAGGCAGTCTCTTGTACCTAACTGCTACTAGACTAGATATCATGTATGCCTCTAGCCTGCTTGCTAGATTCATGCACTATCCTACAAGCAAACACTATGGAACTGCTAAACGAGTGCTAAGATATATCAAGGGGACTCTAGACTATGGTTTAGAGTATGTGAAAGGGAAAAATGAAATGTTGATTGGCTTCTATGACAATGATTGGGGTGGATCAGTTGAGGACAGTAAGAGCACATCTGGATATGCATTCTCCTTTGGCAGTGGTGTTTTCTCTTGGGCTTCAGTTAAGCAAAATTGTGTTGCATTGTCTACTACAGAGGTAGAGTACATTAGCCCATCAGAAGCTACTGTACAGGCCATTTGGCTTAGATTTGTGTTAGAAGACTTTGGGGAACTTCAGACAGAAGTAACTTCATTGCAGTGTGACAACACATCTGCAATTGTCATCACTAAGAACCCTGTGTTTCATCAGAAGAAAACTCATATTGACAGAATTATTTATCACCTCATCAAAGATGCACTACAAGAAGGCATCATTGATTTGGTGTACTGTCCTACAAGTGAACAACTTGCAGACATTTTCACCAAACAATTGGCTAAAGATCGGTTCAATGATCTCAGGAGTATGCGTGGAGTTAAATCAGCTCAAGACTTAAAGGGGAGTGTTGAATTATAAGCCTTTAAGCTGACTTAAGAGTTAGTTAACATAGTTTTCGTTTCTTTAAGTTTTTTAAGCCAAGTGTAAGGATCTCATTGGATGTCTAAATGAATGGCTGAGATCACCTTGTAATGTAAGGGATCCAGCTACTGTGCCTAACGATTATATTCCCTCACTCCAAGTGCGTGAGGTTGTAAGAGAGAGAGACTGAATAGAAATGTGTATTCCTCCACTACACGTATAGCAGAGCAGTCTTACAATTCTTGTTGCTTCTCCTTTCTTCCCTTCTTCGTTACTCTCTATTCACACACTCAAAACACTAACATTCTTAGCATCGGTTTTCATCAATGTATGAATTGAGTATGAGCTTCCCCTTCTGAATGCCAAGAACTAGTTCAAAAAAAGTGTGAAGTCTTACAATTTCAGCTGTAACTTAATTGTTAAATCCAAAGCTTCCATTTCCTTTTTTCATGTTCTCTTGGCCATTAAGTGAGGGAGTATTCTGTTTAGTGTTAGTTGAACATTTGTGTTTCAATGACATGAAAAGAAGAAGCACTTAGTCCATGTAATTAGCTAAATATCATAGTTAATTTTTAATTAATTACCTTAATAAAACCGCCATGACAAAGGTAATTGCTGGAATTGTTGTGGTTGCAGAGGTGTAGTTGATTGCAACATAGTACAGATTTAAACTCAGGGTAATCCTGGAAAAATTATTATGTATGTTAGAGAGTTTAATTGAAATATTGTTGATGAGGAGAGAGAGTATAACCAAGTTCGTACCCAGATAAGGAAATGAAGAAAATCTTGCAGAGTAAGGTGTACGAAAGAGGAGCGTCTTTTGAACTGAAAATTCAGAAGACAAATTAAACCACCACTGAAAAGTCTAGAGAGATGTATGCTACAAATGGAAGCTTATGAACCAACCTTTCAAAGAAGAAAGCAAATGGAGCCAAGGCGAGGGAGACAAAAGCTTGACGATAAACCACAAACACAAAAGGGTTCATTCCCTTGGCCATTGCTGCCTTAGAGAACAAGGGTTATGGCATCAAATCTTAAGTAATCTGGACCACACATTCTCATTCTATTCAAAGCGAAATACCAGAAGTCCAAAACAAGAGAAATTCTCATTGTGTTCCCCCTTTAGTGGGTCCATAAACCCTTCCTTACGTCCGTTTCGCCGACTGCCATATGCCCACATTTTAATCTATTACATAATCGTCAACCATTGTTCATCCATCAACCATATCCATACAACATGTATATAGACAAATTGTCGAAAATATTAGGCTAGCCATTACAATTATCCAATCAAAACTCTACTAAAAACTAACAAAATGGCTGCTTCACATCACAACATCCCATCTACGCCGCCCCCGGCGACATTGTTCAACGGCGGCAGTGCTGGGTTCATGCCTACGAGCTGCTGCAAGATGATGATGCACATGACCATCATCTGGGGCCACATCGCTGAGGTTCTCTTCTCGTGTTGGCCTGGCCGTGACAACCCGGTCATGTACGGTGGTTGTGGGTGGGTACGTTGGTGGTGAGTTTGGGTGGTTATGGATGATGGTGCGGTGGTTGGTTGCAGAGAGATGATGGTGCGATGGTGCGGTGGTTGATATTTGGGGATAGGGATTGATCTTCGGGAATATGGATTGATTTTGGGGAGAGTTTAGGGATTTTATTTTATTTTTAAAGCATAGAGAAGGAAAAAAATTATTTATTAATTTTCCATTTTATTTATACATTTTTTAATTAAACAAGTAATTATTTTATTTTATTTTATATTTAATTCAATTTAAACCAAAAAAAAATTGGGACATTCACATGACACATCATCACTTATAGTAAAAAAACTAAAATAGCCATGACACGTCATCAAAACTGACAAAGTTATTAATGGAGATAACGGTGCGGGTAAAGTGATATTTGACTGAAGTTTCAGGGGCACTACAGTAAATAAGCCTCCAAGAAACTACTTACTCAATTTTAAATAAATGCATGCATTGAGTTGGGTTAAGAGCAGTTAGTGATGCACTTGAGGTCTTGTGTTTGAATCTCTCCTTCTCTAATATCGTTTGCATAAATAAAAAACGTATATGGTAATAATTCGGGCATATGTGTAATAGTTATTTTTGTTGATAAACTAGAATATTATTTATTTGACTACCAAGTGAAAAATATTAAAATGTTATTACAGAATATTAAAATGCAAAAGAATTCAACAGAAATAAATGTTTAAAAAGAGATGCACAAGAATTCTACTGGGAAGACATAGACCCTCTAAACCTTAGTTCTCTCTCTATTTTTCTTTTGAAAAATTCCAAAGATGAGAAGAGAAGTCACTGTTACTCAGCAGGCCTTCGTCTGCAGAATTTACACCAGTTCCTGTGTTTTGGGCTATATTTTCAACCCAAAAGTTTGCGAAGAAATCTTCCTCCAACTGAAAACCAGAACACATTGCTCTTTCAACACTGTTCGTATCAGCTAACTGGCTTTTCCACTCATCAATTCCATTTTCTATAGGCGGTGATGATGGCAATGGCCAGTTAAAATTCTCTTTTAATTGAATATACTGTAAAGTTGGAGCTGGGCTGCTCAAATGATATGACTTTTTGGAGAAGGTTCGTGGTTGAGGCCTTAATATTACTGTCTTTGTTGTTTCTAGGGTTTTATCATTTTCGGCCCTAGAAGACTTATTTTTCCTTAGTCGGGTACTCCAGTAGTTTTTCACATGGTTTGATGTTCTTCCAGGAAGTCTTCCAGCAATCAACGACCACCTAAATGATGTGAATATATACATAAAGAAAAAGGATTTGTTAGAAATTATATTATTTAGACATTTTTTAAAAATACATCTAGAACAAGTGAATTTGGAAAGAACAAAAGTCATAAAAGGAAAGGGATTAGATTGAAATGTTTTGTTTGTTCATGTCTAAGGGCTCGTTTGGGACTGCTTCTTTAGGAAGTACTTCTGATCATAAGCGCTTTTATTATAAAGAGGTTGAAATTTTCATAAGAAATCCAAGTGTTTTCGGAAGAAGCACATAACAGGTGCTTCTTCAGAAAGTACTTCTATGACCTAGAAGCACTTCTAAACTTTTCTACCAAATGTTGTTAGAAGCGTTTTTTGTTGTAAGAAAGCACAATCAAATAAAAAATTATTGCAGATGCTGGTTATATATTGAATGGTTCGAAGATTGATACTATTAATTAATAAGAACTTGAAAATTTGTTACATCATATCTAGAAAACGTAGAAATTTGATTTGTGAAATTTCCCAAATAAGAGTTGTGTGCGATCCTATTGAAGGGCTTGCCATAGTTAAAAAATGAGTATTTTTCCTCACCACATTAACCAAAGTTGTATGTTCACCACCGTTCTTAAAGGATGACATTTGTCCTATTGTTAACCTTAGTTAACTTTTATGTGAGAATTAAAGAAAAAATTGATAAAGGGCCCAGAGCACACATCCCGATTCTCTATCCCCTTTTTTTCTCCATTCCCCCTCCCTCTCTCTATTCTTTCACGCAACTCTCTCCCTCACTCTGTAAGCTATCAGATTTGATAATAATAAATGCTACATTTACTGTGTTTTTATCCCACATTTTTATACCACATAATGTGGCATGTCCATATTATATGCCACATCAATTAAATCAATGAAGCGTATTTTAATAAAGAAAGTTTAATTAACAGTTTTTTTAAAAGTGGTTAACAAATCATAAAAGAAAAGAAAATGTTAAATAATTTTAATTGATGTGGCTATCCATCTCATTTGCCACATAATGTGGTCTGGGAATGTGGTATACAAATGTGGTAAAAGTAACATTATTCATAATAAATATCTTATTAAGTACAATGGAATCAAAATCTAGTCCACTACATACTAATCCCTTGTATGCTACTATAATATAGACATTTTCTATTTAAACCCCGCATTTCTCTATGTTCACCCAATATTCTAAGTTTACCTTAACTTTTAATTCAAATTTTGACAATTTCTAAGAAAACCCCACTATCTTCAAAAATTACCCCTAAATACACACCTAGCAGAAAAAATAAAATAAAAAACTCATCAACCTCACACCCCAAACCCTACAACCCCCTATCTTGCCATTTACCACTCTAAGTTCACCTTAACCTCACGGATAAAACTACGGTTGTCAAATGTGTAGTAGTATTATTTTATTACCATTATTACTATTAAAAATTTGAGAATAAAATAGGAGGTTTTGATAGAGATGTTGACAGTTAAATTAATATGTAAGTTACCATTATCAAACAAAATGGCATACTAAAAGAAAATTTAGTCATAGATATGTCTATGATGATTGTGGCCTTCAATTGACATATTCTTATTTAAGCGGCTATGGTTTGAAACTAGATATCATTCGCTCGGATTTCAAGTCTGGTTTGGAGGCTTTACTTAATGTGAAACCAATTAAAGCTATCTTACTTGGTGTCCGAATTGGTGATCCTATTGCGGTATTTTGATTTTCTATATCGGCAAAATCATAATCATATCATAGACATATCTCTAGTAATAGGGTGTAGAAAAGTTTGTGTTTTTATAAAACTTAATATGAAGAGTGGTAGAGTGTGTGTATAGATGAACTAGAGTAAAGTATTAAGTTGGATGACATTTTTTGTCTTTTTACATAATAATAAAACTTAAGAGCTTAATGATTTAAGTATTGAGGTGAACAAAGAAAAGTGTGGGATTTAAATAGAAAAACTCTATATATCTCACATTGAGTAAATAACGTAGTTTGTCGTATTACTTTTCCTTTTGGCTGTGGTATTCTTTTTTCTTTCTTTTTTTCATTTTGATATTACTATTCAAGATTTATATGGTTGGGGTATGTATCAATTTGGCTGTGTTTTCTAGGATGAGTAACAAGTATTTAGATTTAGCTGCAAAGCACAAACAAGTCGAACAAAAAGAACAGAAAGCCCTTCATTCCTAGCAACTTAGGAAGTTAGCTACGAAAGAGAAGTTCAGATTGTACTTGCCTGTTTCCTAAAAGCTTTCGAAGCCTGACCATTAGGTCCACTTCATCTTCTGTAAAGTCTCCTCTTTTGATATTTGGGCTCAAGTAGTTCAACCACCTCAGTCTACAGCTTTTCCTGCATCTATTCAAGCCTGCATATATAATTCATAAAACTTACACATAAAATCTTCCTACAATCTTCACAAAAAACAATTTAGGACCTATTTGATAACCATTTCAATTTTAGTTTTCATTTTTCATTTTTTGTGTTAGAGAATAGAGGAAAATGAGAGTGAGAATAAGAGTCAAGATGAGATTGAGAGAGAATGATGAGGAGTCACAAAAGTGAAAACAATTTCAAAAAGATTTCAATTTTTTGTTTTTTTTGTTTTTACTTTTGTTTACTCATCCATCCCATCTTCCACTCTCGTGTTCCCTCTCAATCTCATCTTCACTCTTATTCTCACTTCCATTCTCCTTTTTCTTCCTCTATACCCTAGCAAAAAAATAAAAAATAAAAACTAAAAACTAAAAACTAAAATTGAAATGATTATCAAACGAGCCCCTTTGTTTCTTTCTTGAGTAAGTCCAGTTATAAGTATAGATATAAATTTAGCTAAGAAAATTACTTGCCTCCTTACTCTGACTCGCTCCTACAATCGAATAAATAAATTACAGTTTGTCACGTCGTGCATACAGGAAAAGACCAAGCAAGCAGTGTTTTCAACTAATAATAATAATACCTGCTTTGAGAGAAACTTGATGCCATTTGCCTTCACCGTACTGTTGAATGTATTGCCTGAGAAGTTCATCTTCCTCTCTAGTCCATGCACCTTTTCTCACTCTCAACAAATTATTACCCTCCATTTCGTGGGGATACGTCGTACACACTTCTCGAAGCCTCCAGACACCACTTATCTAATGAAGGGTCTCTATATGTAGATACTCTTGCGTACGTGCATCTCTGCCCTCCATACAAAGGGAAGACAAAAGGTATAACATTTCTCCTTTTCTTTTTCTTTCTTTCTCGGGTGTAATTTTTTTTTATTAATAAAAGAGATAAGTTTTGTGTGATCCACAATTACAATTAGACGAAACTAATTGACGTAAAATCCTCATAAATATATACAAAGTTCAGATATTCAATTAGATCTATTAAATATATGTGAGTAATAAATAAAAATGACCATTTTATTTGTTCAACCTAATAATGATGATTGTGAATTGTGATAGGTCATATAGATGTCGATTTCTTTGGCTGGGCTGGCTGTAAAGTGGTACTGTTGTACATTTCTGATTTGATAATATTTTTGAAAACAAAACTACAAATAAATAAGGAGAAAAATAAAAATAATAAATCGTTTTCAAAAATGATTGTAAAATCAGTTACGATCGGTCATCTTCTTGCAAACGACAGAAAATCTTCATTTCCTCCACAATTCCCAAATAAGCACCACATGTATTGCTTTCTTTTTTTGGTCAGAAAAATGAAGAGAGATCCTATTAAATTCATTCTAATTCTGTCCAAAACACCCATGCACATCAATTGGTCAGAAAAATGAACAGAGATTCTATTAAATTCATTCTAATTCTGTCCAAAACACCCATGCACATCAATGACACATACTTACTCCGTCATGAAATTAAACAGGAATTTACACGTGTCTTTGAATTGTAAGAATATCAAACAATTCAAGGATATCAAATTACGTAAGTCAAATTATCATAACTGAACTAATAAGAACAAACTCAAAAAAGTTTCTTAAAAAGAATGCAAGAGTGAGTGAATCGTTGAATTTACATCCAACGGTGAGTGACTACAAATCTCTTGGACCTCTGTAGTTCAAGAGATCGAGACTGTATATATATATTATTTTTAATTTATTTATTTATTTTTAATTTTTTTTGGAATTGTTTTGTCCATATTTTGGGGCTTTCATTCACTTTTGCACTTTTTTTAGGTCGACTATTTTTTTTATTGGTCTGAATTTTGGTCCACTTGTTTTGTCCATATTTTGAGATTTCTCACCATCGACTCACCGCCATCCATCATTCAACGAACCTTCCAATCGTAGAAGAGCGGGTAGCCCATTCTTTTACTCTTTATCTCGGCATGTTTTGTCTATTCTAGTTTTGCCCCTCTTGATTGAGGAGGGTCCTTTGTCCTGTCAATTTTTTTATTTTTTATTTTGGCTAGTCCTGCCACTTGCAAGAAGATTTGCATGCCTCTATTATTTATTGTCATTTGTTTTTTGTTTGTTTGTTTTTTTTTTTTTTTTTTTTTTTTCTTTTTGAAATTGAAATTCAACAGAAAATGTCATTTTCAAGATAAAGGTCGACAATCTTTTCAAACCAACTTGGTCCCCTAGAAATTAAGCAAGAACATCCAATTAAACAACACAAGATATTTACGTGGTTCACTCATATTTGGGCTACGTACACAGGGTGTTGGAAATTTCCACTATTGAATGAACAAAGAACAAAGGTGTACAGAGTGTTTGATCCTCACAACCCATATCTCAATTACAACCATAACACTCATATAGAATAAAATAAAATATTGATATCGTAGGGTTGAGTTCTAGTGGAAGAATATGGAAGGAACTTAAGTTTCACACTTAAGTCTTTTTTGCATCAACTTTATGCCAAAATATTGGTTTTCTTATCATTTTCATATCTTAGTTAGTTTCACACTTAAGTTCTCCGTGTAATTAATTACAATTGGAAAAATAATTTCAATTGGAAAAATAATTTTAAAACTTTTAATAATAGGTCTCATAAGAAGAAAGCACAATGTTGTAAGATCTTCTTTCATGATGCAGCGTGACAATAATTGGATGGCTAAAAACACACTACTCTGGAATCCACCAGGAAGAAATGCGGGAACCTCAAGTTTATTGATAATTTGAAATAACATAACATAACCCTAGCCACAAGTTAAAATTGTTCAAATACCCTATAAACCCTAGGATTAAACAAGGCATTAAAATAGGAAAATTAACCAAGTTTCCAAAAACTGATAAAACACAAAAACTGAATTTTGGGCTGTTAAATGATCTCGGATGCCCGAAAAATCCCATAAATCATAGCAGAGCAATGACTTTTACTCGTGATGTCATTCTCTTCAAATCGATCGGTCATGAACCCAAATCTGAGCTCGGGGCCCAAACTTGTAACTTTCTGAATTTGCCCTTGCACACTCCTCTCGAACTCCTCTTCGATTGCTTTCGCTATCTATTCTACATCATTTCAGCAATGGAATTATTAATGTGAATTAGTGATAATCTTGCAGATCCGTTAACCAACGCCTTGGCAAAAAAAAGGGTATAGAATTTATCAAGGGGGGATGAAATTAAAGCTCATAAAATCATGAGCTCAATTGTTGTCAATAATGCGCTCACTCTTCAATTTCTTCCTCGTCAGGCTCAGTCGCCTGATGTTCTTACCAAGGCAATTTCTGCCACATAACAAAATATCGATAATTTCGCCGATATTTCGGCGAAATTATCGTTTTTTTGGGGCAGCGATATTTTAGCACACTTCCATATATATATATCGTCAATTTATCGATAATTTCCTCGATAATTTCGCCGATATTTCAGTAACAATATTTTCCTTCAAGTTGCAACTTCAAATGGACAATATATTGCGATATTATCGATAATATCGCGATATGAACTTACAAAATTAAACTCAGCCTTCAGATGAATCCCTCAGCCTCCGAAACTCAGCCTCTCTATCTCTCAACTCAATCTTAACTCAACTCAGGAAAAAAAAAACAGAAAGAGGAGAACGAGAGAGAAGGGAAGAAGAGGAAAAAAAAATATTATGGAGTGGGTTTTTATATTTTGTTGTTTTGGATTGTGATGAAGCGAGAGAGGGAAGAAGAAGTAGGGAAAGAGACGGAGAAATAGAAGAAGAGAGAAAGAAAAAAAAAGCAGATAGAGGAGAGCGAGAGAGAGAAGGGAAGAAGAGGGAAAAACGTATGGAGTGGGTCTTTATGTTTTACTGTTTTGGATTGTGATGGAGGAGAGAGAAGAGGGAAGAGGAAGAAGAGAAAGAGAGGGAGAGATAGAAGAAGAAAGGGAGAGAGAGAGAGAGTGTGTAGAATAAATAAATAAAATAAAAAGGGAGAGATGGGTGAATGCCCAAAAGAGAGAGAGAAGGCAGGTTGCACGTATCTACAACCTTGGGAAGTTCAGACAAAAAAAAGGAAATAAAAAAACGTTGGAAGTGGGAGAGGGAGGTAGGGAAACGTGAAAGTGTAAAATAAATAAATAAAATAAAAAGGGAGAGATGGATGAATGCCCAAAAGAGAGAGAGAAGGCAGGTTGCATGTATCTGCAACCTTAGGAAGTTCAAACAAAAAAAAGGAAATAAAAAACATTGGGAAGTGGGAGAGGGAGGTGGGGAAACGTGAAAGTACTTGGGAAGTGGGAAATGTGACTTAATTACTTAATATAATTTATTTCTTTTCTATTTAATCCATTTAATGTTATTGATTATTTTATTACTCATTATAAGTACTTACATTACTAAATTCTCCTTCAAATTGTTGCTTAATTACTTAAATCTCTATAATCATTTTCATTATTTGCTATTTAATTCTTCCTTGGATAAATTTATTTATGTTCTTAGTTAATTTTCAATCTTCACTATTATTTTTTAAGCATGGTAAAGTGCCTAATTTTCATGAAAAATCAAATTGGTTTGCATCTTTAATTATTTTTCAATTTTTGATAAATAATAAATAAGAACGTGTACTATGTCTAATGAATAACGTGAAATAAATTGTTGCTTAATTACTTAAATTTCTATAATCATTTTCTTTATTTCCTATTTAATTCTTCATTGGATAAATTTATTTATGTTCTTAGTTAATTTTCAGTCTTCACTATTATTTTTTAAGCATGGTAAAGTGCCTAATTTTCATGACAAATCAAGTTGGTTTACATCTTTAATTATTTTTCAATTTTTGATAAATTAATAGATATAACAACGTGTACCATGTCTAGTGAATAACCTGAAATAAGGTTACTCATGTATCTTATCATGCAATTTATAAAGTGTAAAATATTGTACTAAAAAATGATCAATAAATTACTAAGGGGTGTTTAATTCTCTTTCATTAATTACTTCACATTTTCTAAGTCACAGAGTTTGTCATGTCGTAATATAATCAACTTAAATCACACAAACCCACTATGTAATACATTTCCTTCCAATTTTTTGTGTCAAAATAATAGATGATTGACTAAATAAACTTCTTCTAAAGTTCCATTAAAAATTTCCATGTATTTATCATAATTTCCGTGGTTTTTATCTAATTTTTATCGATATCGATATTTTCCCGATATTTCCATTAATATTTCCGTGTTTTTGAACCACCGATATTTCCGAAACTATCGATATTTAAGACCTTACTTTCTGCAGATAAGGTTTCTTCATCTCATATCCAAGCTTCATGTTTGCATTAATTGCCGAATTCAACTTGCAGATAAATCCCTGTCATTGGATTTTAACAATAACACTTTGACACATGGCATTAGTTTGAAAAATTATTCTCTCTTATCTTCTAACAGTCAGCAGCAGAGTATAACCTTGTAACAATCTTTTTCAGTGGAAAATCATTTTAACATAATTTTTTTTTAATCAAGAAAAGATTTTTTTTTAAGATGACAGGTCATGCATATTATCATCATTCAACAAAGGATAAAGTCATGCTGGCCACTCTTAAACCCTATGAATTGGAATATCTAGATCTAAGGCAGACAAGCCAGCCTATATGTAGCCTTGTTGCATTCCTTTGGTTGGAAACCCACAATCAGAGACATCAAGAGAAGGAATGAGTGATTTAGCCTTTTCAA